TTAATTTCTATAAAAAAAATAATGATTAAATATTTATTTAAAAATGAACTATGGTAATGAACTAATAAAAAAAATTGTATTGTTTTATTCTATTAATCAAAGAATAAAAATATTCTACATTCAAGTGGAATACTTCTGTTTCCAGAGGAAAAATTGAGTTAGAAGAGGATTTTTTCTCTATAAATGTGAGATTACTTTTTTCTTGGTGTATTTTTAAACCTTGACAATAAATTGCCGAAGCGTTGACCAATCTTTTCTATATTATTAATTAATGTATTATTTTTTTGTACAAATATATAATCTCAAATTTTCTGAAACAGATAATTAAATAGGATTTTATCTTGTCTAATTAATTTCCAGATTCTTCATAATTGGCTGTGAAAAGCAGTTAATTGATATTGATAGGAAAATGGAGCTCGCGTGTGACATTTGAGTTGATAATAATAGACCGTCTATGAAGCAAGCCACCCTAACGCACAAATTAGATACAATAATATACATTTATTTGTCTGAATATTTATCATGACATACGATGTGAGATTCTTTCTTTTTCCGCATGAAAAATACTTTTTACATTTCTCATTTTTATTAAAATTCAATGCTTTTAAGCGGATATTTTATGTGTATGAATTCTATTTTAAAATCAAAGGGGAGTAAAAATACTTTTTTAAATTAGGATTTATAAACATACAATATAAATAATTTCCGAAATATTAGTGAATTCGTCTTCACGAATAAATTGAGCTTACATATAATAATAATTTATTGAAGCTGCGGCCTATTGGCCTAGAAGTGGACTTGGTTTACATATTATATTTTCCTTATATGATTAGTAAAAGATATTAGTTAAACAGAATGTTAATATTTGACGAGCATTATACTCATTGGTCACGGGTTATTTTCCGCTTGTGATTTGTGAATACAAAATTTCTATCATGCATAGAGAACGCTGGTCATTTGATATTCAATAATCAAAATCCTAAAAGATTTTCTCTTTTTTTATATAGTTTTTTTTTTATTTGTGTGAAAAATTTGAAGCTAATATGAATTGCATCGACTTTTGCGACTTTGACATTTGACTTTGACTAACAATTTCTGTTTAAACAGCAGTGAGGCATGACTTTCCAGCTGCCAGCTGCAATAATAATAAAAAAATGAGAATATAAAATTATATTTTGAAATTTTATACTTAGTTCGTTTCATACAAAAATACGTTTGGCATTATTGCTCTCCAAGTGTTTTTATTTTATCAAGTTACGTATAAAAAAATTTGTATTGGACGTATGAAATCTATATATAATACAATTTGTTTTGTTTTATTAGTACTTAAAAGTAGGTATGTATATAAATTGGTGGAGTAGAACAGAGAACCAAAAACATGATGGCAAACTGCAATGCTCTCCCTTTGTGCTAAATTTTGATCGCGTCTAATAATAGGTTCCATTTCCATGGGTTATTTCTCGTTAACTTCTGAGTCGGGTTAAAATTAAGAAAAAATATATATGTCCGAGTCAACGTTGGCTTTGTAATGAGAAGGGCGTTACGCGCTATGGGCACAAGTTTAAACAATTGTCATGGTTGTTTGTGATGTGCGGTATATTATTACATATTGCATCATTTTTTCTAATATACTATATACCATTCTTACTTTTGACACACACCTTGCAACAATGTATAAATAAAGTTTAAAATAATTTTCGATATTAATAGAAAATGGAAGAGTACGTTAAAAGCACGGTTCATTAAAACTTTGAGCTTCAAGTAAATTTTGAATTATAATTTTTAATTACTTTTTCATAACAGATGCCTCTTAATTTTTTTACTTTTTACATTCAATGCTTAGAAAATAAAATTTTAAGAAACTTAAGTTGTATTTACAACTTAAATTTACTATACATTTTTAATAGTATTAATGTTTGTGAAAAATTTAAATGCACGTTTTAGAATTACTCACACACTGTGTGATATATGTATATTGATAAAGTTGAGATGTGGGTTCTAATTTATATGAGCTTGAAAATACCATATGTGAATTTAATTTAATGTACTTTTCGTGAAGGGTGTTTTGATACGCTACCACTGTACCTAAATAAGCACATTTTGTATTAACCACATGCGCCATAGCATTTTCCCTTTTGCGAGTAGTTTCAAATGAATAGACAAAAAAATTACTATATTATTTTGTTAAACAAATTTTGGCAATTGTTTTTTATTAGACAATTTACTTTTTTCTCTGGACATCAAACGTCTAATATTACTTAATCTTTTCTATAGTTCAGGTTCAAGGAACATAAAATTAGTAGAACTAAAGACAATTAAAAAATCTTTGGACAGATTTTTTCTCTTAATGCATTATAAGTTATAGGTAAAATCTCGGGTAAAATTCAAAATTTAATTAATAATTTGCTTTAGAAAATGAATATTAGATATGGCTTCCTATCCTTTTTTTGAAAATTTTTTAACCCCTAGAAACTTTTTCGTTACATGAATTTCGACCCATGCTCGCACATAAGTATTTTGCGTATATATTCATACTATACATATATTTTAGGTCGTCGAACTCTTCGGCTGTGATGACGCTGAAATGTTAAAATGGTGTTAGATATTCTACTCTGCTGAAAGCATGTCAAGAATATTAGATTTAGATTTGAAATAACATTATGAATTAATAATAACTAATTACATAATTTTCTATAATTTATTCTCTAAACTATTTTTAATTCTGATATTAAAACGCATTGTAAAAAATCGAGCTGCCGGATCGAAGAAGGACACATAACCAATGTAATTCAAATGGGTTGTATGCCCTTCTTTGATCCGGCAGCTCGATCTGATCTTCAATATAACTCAGGTTTTTTAATATATTTATATTTTTTCCAAATGATGAAAAATTTTCTCATTTAACAAAAATATTTACCTTAATGTTAGTAAATTATTGTAGAAGAATATTTTTTGATATTCATCATTTCACATTTGTAGGATTTGTAATTAGTAATTACAAAAGTGCAATAAAAGTATTTATAATATTTATTACGAGTAAAGGGTTTTCTTTACACAATAATCTCGACTCTTCAACTTGAATTTGTCTTTACCAAGGGTAGAGGATTGCTTCAAGCAAACTCGGCTTAATTAAACGAACTTATGTTTATTGACGCACTCATATCACATTTTATGTAGGAGCGTCTGTCCGTTAATAAAATTTAATTCTTGCATATACTGTATTCACTATATACTTAATGCGATAAATTTACCTTTTCTCAGTATTGACAACATTGTTTTTAGCCACTTATTAACAATAAACTAATATTGTATTATTAATTAATAATGAAACCGTAATTTATAATTTTTAAAAATCAAAATTTCATGCAGAGATACCCTTATCCATCTATGTTGTTTATAATATAAAATATTGAAGAAAATTATTGTCAACATGAATTATATACACATGCATATTCGCATATACTTCTGTTTTGATTATCCTGACAGTTAAAAATTCGGATTACGCGGTCCTTGGAAGCATATCTTGGTGCAACATATTTAGTTACGCATATAGAATTACATACATATATCATACGGAGTTAAATTACACATGTGTGCAAAAAAATTTTTAAATTTACAAATTTAGTCGCTTTAAATTTATTATTTATTAATTAATTAACTAGCGACAATTCGGGCGCTTACACGCGCGGCTAATTTTTACCCCTTTTTTTTATATAAAATTTTAAATAAAATTAGCAATTTTAAAAATAATACAACGTAAAAGTTTTTAATTATTTAGAGAGTTTTTAACTTGGTTGACATTTTTAAAAATATTAATATCTTAATTACATTAAATTCTATTATAATTTTATCACAAGAAGACTTTTATGCCAGAAATGAAATACTATATGATAAAAGAGAAAATAATCTAATTCATTTTCAGAAGCAAAGCCCTCACCCCCCCAAATATAATAAATGCTTAGACTGACAAATTGTTACCAATAACTTAGAAGTTGGGTCTTTTTTCCCATTCCCCTAAATAAATTGAAAAGGGACATATTTCCGGAACTATGCGGATAAGGAAAAATATTGTTCGTGTGATGGATTTGTATAATCTGAAGATGAAAACTCACAGAAATTTGATAGCACGTTGCCAGCAAGGTTGGAAATATTATGAAGTTGTGTAATTGTTTAAATTTTCACAATTCGCAATTTTCGGACATTTAAACAATGCTTGTATCAGCTTTGTCACTAATATTTCCAACCTTGTTGGCAAGATACTTGACAGGGTTGAGAAAATTTTTGGGGCTGTGTGGGAAGTTATGAGTCATCCCATCAATATATATATATATATATAACGTTGGAAAACAATATTTTTATAAGGGTGGAAACCTTGAACAGATCCATTAACCTAAATATTTTATCTCTTTTATTTCAATCACATTTGTATAGTTTCTTTGAGAGATTTATCTATGGTTTATATATTGTTACAATTTTCTTATTAAATTCATATACTAATGCACTAAGTATCATATTATTATTAAGTAGAAGGAATTTCTAATTTTTACGATAAATTAATATTTTAAACAAATTATATTTAAGTATTCATAACTCATTGTAACAGTTACAAGAAATGAAGAATGCTTTAAATAAAAAATTAGTTTATTTAAGTAATTTTTTCTGTTTTGCAATTTTTCCTTTTCAACATGTATATATAATAGGTTAGATAAATTTATAGACTAGATAAATTTATTGACTTCATTTGGATAAAGTTTAAAGGCCAAGTGATAAGTGACGTGTTGGTAACAATTTGACCTATTTTTTTTCCTCTTTTTTTTAATAAAGGTGTGGTGAAACTATAAGTAACTATTGGAAACAAATGAGCATGAAACCTGTAAAAGTTGGGCGTTCACCTCCTTCATTTTCATTTAACTTCCATTCATTCTTTAGAGTTTTTTTCTATTTAAAAAATGAGAATAATGCATGAAAAGATGACTTATACTTATTTCTGGTAATTTCAGGTTTCTCATATCCAAGTGAGAAAAATGTTGACTACGCAGGCGACACACCTGAGGAAGATGATGACGAAATTGCAGCAGATTCAGATATCAATATTCCAAAAGAAGAAAACATTAAACCTATTCGATTAATATCAAAAGACTCGACTATCGAAGTTTTTCCTGACGAGCAAATTATTTTGCCCTGCGAAACTGTTAACGGAGGTATTTTATAATTATTCAAAATTGAGGAAATAATTATTTTTAGAAAATATACATTTTTGCGAGCATTTTTGTGTTTACTTATCAATTGTTTTCAGATGACCCAGTGGTTACGTGGAAGAGAAAAATCAAAAGTGCCAACGAACCTGATGTGTTATTTTTCGGCGACTCCTCTCTAATTAACGATGAATCTGACAAAATAAGAATAAGCAGGACGCACAATAATAGTCTTGTCATTAAGAATGCTCTCCTTGAAGATACTGGAACTTATGTGTGTGATCTGAATGTCGCTGCAAATGGAAATCAGCCAAATAATGTCACATACACCGTTCGCGTTAGTAAGAACGAACAGACATTGAAAATATCTCCTGGAAAATCTGTTGTCGTTAATGAACAAGAGGATATAAAATTGAGTTGCAGTACTGTTAGTAAAGAAGATCCTGTCTCTCTGATCTGGTCTCATGGAGTAGGTTTTTTTTATTTCTGCTATTGAAATTTGTTTTGACTTGAAGAAAAATGCTTTAATTGAAACATCTTTCGTTTCTAGAGCCACAAGTTGCACCCAACATTTAGACAAAACAAAGTTGCTGAAGTTCACATAAAGCACGCTACCAGGCACCACGCTGGGTTTTATCAGTGCTTGGCTGATTTCGGCCCTGGCAAAGATCCTCTTCATAATGTTATCGATGTTACAGTGCGATGTAAATATTAATTTTTTTCCTAAACTAATATTTAGGATAGTTAATAATCGTATTATTTGATTGCAGACGCTCCGGAAGTAGAGGTTTTGCATGAGTATGTTCACAGTGGAATTGGAGAAACTGCCAATTTAACGTGCGTCGTTCACGCGTTTCCTACTGCCAATATCACTTGGTACAAAAAAGAGGGGGATGTAGCAAAACCAGTTTTTAATTCAAATCATATCGATATTAAAGATGGTAAACACATTCACAATCTTACTTTGAGAGACATCAAAAAACACGATTTCGGAAAATATCTTTGTAAATCGAATAATGTTTTGGGATCTCATCAGAAAGAAGTAGAACTTACAGGTGAATAAGAATATTTTCATACAAACAATAGATAATTTTCCACAATAATATTTATATTTATAATTAATTTTCGTTTATTCTCCTTCACTATAATTAATATTTCTCGAACGTAAGAGATTGATTAATAATTACTTTTTTATAGGATCTCCCTCAAGAGCCAGATTCTTTGAACGATATTTAAAAAATGACGATAAGACCATTGTTCTCAAATGGGAAGTTGAAAGTTTCTCACCAATTACAGCTTACGAGGTAAAAACATTTATCTATCTATTTATCATATATTCTTCAATTATTTATTTCTTCTTTATTCAACAAGCAGTAGATAAAAGTTGTGATAATTTTTTTAAAATGATTACATAATATTCTTTTATTTTACAAAATAGTCATATTTTTTAGACAAGTGTATATTTAGATGATTACATATAAGTAAATATACCTTCTTTACGCAAGTGTGACAAACCCTTTTTCGAAAAGTTAGAAAGTTATGAAATCAGTTAAAAAACGTGTGTTTAATAATGTCGATATAAATTATTGAAAATCGACCGCTTTTTACCACTTTTATAAGCAAGGATTCTTTTACATTATAAAAGTATTTTTCATTTTTTTATTTTTAAAGTTATTGAACCTTTCTTTAAAAATTAAGTATTTGTGGGGTAAATCATATTTTCAAATTTTAATATTTTTTTAAGAAAGTACATATTTTGAAATAGATATATTTTTTTAGTTGAGGTATCGGAAAAATCAGGACAACAACTGGATAGTAGAGAAGCCGAAAGTTATTTCCAAATATGAAACCAATAAATATATTGCAGAGGACTCTATTCACAATTTGGAACCTGATACTTACCATTTCGAACTTAGATCACAAAATAAATTCGGTTGGTCTGAGTATTCGATAACGCAATCCATTGAAGGACGTAAGTTTTTCATTTTTTGCGATTGTATAATAATAAACAAATATAAAGTTTTTTTATAAACTTGTTGCAAACTTGCCAAGAATAGTGGTTAGCTCTCAAAAGTTGGAAATTAATTATTATATTTTTCCTTTTAGCAATGCCTTTGATGTCAAATGACATAGAAAGTGGTATGTTCGAAAATCGTTATAATTATTGAATAATATTCAAATAAGAATATTAAGCAAATGACATTTAATACATGAATTTATGTTTTTTTCAGGCCTTGATTTGCGAAAAGCTGGAATTGGTAAGTTTTACATTGACAATATAATTTAAAGTCTAATAATTTAAAGTTTAATATATGTTATCTATGATTTTTGCAGGATCAGTTGCTGGAGCATCATCTTCACAACCGATAATGTTTTTAGTAACATTACTTCTAGTCGTGTCAGTGTTTTGCAAAAATTTGTAATTCTTTAAACTACGTAGGTAAGAAATATATTATTAATTTGATTTAATTGACAATTAATTTTACAAAAAAAATAATAATTTGACATTTCGCAGGTAAATTGCTTCAGCCAAAGCATACTATAGCAACGAACGGTCGATTATTTTTTTAAAAGAATATACCTACAATGGGTGTTTTCCATCACTTTTGCTGGAATAATCGTCTTAGAGAAGCAGCATATATTTTTCATATAATTGAAAACGCAGCAGTTTTTAGAATAACATCTTGTAAATAAATCCAAATAGTACGATAAATTTTCGTATTGCGTCCATGTATATTTTAGCTTTTACTTTATTGATATATATATATATTTAAACAAGTGAAAGATTATATATAATATATATATACTCTAGAAACTTATTTTATTCTTTGATTTTAAAACGTTCGAATTATCACTTTTTACAATGACCAATTTTTAATTTTGGTTTTCTTCAGTCGTATTATTTATTTGATCATACTTACATTTTAAGATTGTTCACTGATGTAAAAGAGAATAATTAAAAATAATTCTCTTATTACAGTATCTTTTAAGTTCAATATTGGTTTTTAATTTCTTAAATTTTGTCACTACGATGGATATAGAAGAAGCTAGTTTTTTTTGGTCTTAATATGTATCAAGTGCCTTTTTATGAAAGTATTCGGTTTACATTCAACAAGCAGTGTCACTTTTACTAGGTGTGCCATTAATTTTTATACATAACTATATGCATAACTTTTGAAATAAGAATCTATGACTTTACTGCCTTAATTAGTGTCTTTTTCGATGATTTAAATTTATTGATTAAACTCTCCTGCGGTTTTCTCTATTATTTCATACAGTTATGTGCAATTTTGTAAATATTTATTTTGATCTTTGTCATTTTATACTACTAGAACCAAGCAATAAATTTCTTTTAAAGTTTCTATTATATTGTATATTTAGAACAAACCGTAGGGCAGTTAAAAATAAAGTATATTAATTGGTTGGTCTTTTTTAAAAAGTATAGAACTTGTACTTCTACAGCTAAGATTCAATAAGATTATATTTTTAGTATAATGTACAATCTTATTAATATTACGTTCATAAATTCTGCACTTAGAAAAAATAATTAATCATTAATAGACTCTACCAACTTTATTGTTGTCTTAAATGTACGCTTCCATTTTTCAGGAAATTTATCAAATACTTATTTAGACTTATGACGTCGAAAAGAATAAAATTACAATTAGACTTATATTCTAGAATTAAATTCTAGATGTTAAATAAAAGAGAATTATTGTATTAGAATACAAATTTTAATTGTAGATAGATAATTACAAAATACAAAAGAATTAATTTTTTACACTGCAGTTTCAAATAATAAAGAATATTTTTATTAAGAAAACCTGAAAAATATATACAAGTATCTCATAGTATTCACAACAATATAGTCTACATACACAAACATTATTATTATTATTATTATTATTATTATTTTGTAATTTATTTTTGTATGCTTGTTCCTTGATGTCTTGATATCTTCCGATTATATGAAATATTGTATAACATTATTCATTTTTAGATACATAAATAAAAATAAATTTCAAAAAGTTTCTTTCAAAATGAATCTGATAAAATTATTGTATGTTATCCAAGACATTTAATGTAATATTTGTGTGTATGACTGTGTGACACGTATTATAAATTTAATTTGGCTAAAATTATTATTTGGTACGTTAATTTTAAGCACAGAAATTAATATAAATTACGCTACAACCATGCTTCATATAGCTTCTGTTTAGAGTATATTTATTACACATTTGCAATTTTATATGTAGAATTGAAATTAGTGCAGTTTAGGTCTGATGTCGATTAAGAGTTTCTTGTGTACTATTTTTGTAAATTATAAAATAAAGAAAGAAAGAATATATCCGCAGTATATAAACATTATTGAAAATTTCTTATAAGCACTGTAAAAAATTGAGTCAACATTTTTTACAGTGATAGTTTTGATAAAGTATTTCAATTTACAACACAGGTTTCCTAAAACCAAAATAGAAATTTTCAATGAAATCTAAGTACTTATTAGTTGACTTTTATAAGACTTTTTACTGCCAAATGTATTCAAAAGAGCTAAACAGAAAAGTTATTTTGCTTAAGGTAATAATTTTAATCTGATCAAAATGTATACTGAAATTTGTAAAAGATGTTAAGTGTCAGAATATACAATATTTCAACTGAACAAAACCAGCATTTGAAATTCATTTAAAATTAATATCCTTGTACCAAATGCCTATCATTCGACTATTATAAATATCCTGAGTTATCTTAAAAATAATTTAATATTTGTTTTGCTATTTATTTTTTCATCTAAAGTTTGTTGAAATAAATGAGAATAAACTGAAAATACATTTAAAATAATTTCTTTATTTATTAAGAACATTAACTTAAGCATCCTAAGATTTACAACAATTATATTATTCTCACATTTAATAAGTGTCTTCCCCGTCTTCACAAAAGAACATCAATATTCTATTTCCATTTCCAAATGCATCCTTATATCCATTACTATAAAAGTAATTATGATAATTATAGGTAATCGAAAGCGAGATTTCCATCCAAGTTTTAGCATAAATAATAAAGCTCGGTGAAGCAATCCCCCGTTCCCTAAAAAATTATCTCCCATTCTTTTAATTTAATTTATATAATACCTGAAAAAATATATTTATGATGTTAAAATATGTATTATTTTATTTTTTTAATGGAAATAAATATATTTAAAAATTTGAAATTCAATAACATATAAGAATATTATTATAAAACATGAAGAAAAAAAATTCCATTAAACTTATTGAGAAAAATTAATTCTATAGAATTCTTAATTGAAAATATGATAAATTTAAATTTTCAAAGATTAATTATTTTAATTTGAAATTCATTTTTTAAATCAATTTTTATTAGAAAATTCTACTAGAATTCAATTATTTAAATGCAAAAATAAATAATTTATTGAATAATTGAATTCTCTTGACAAATTTTAATAAAATTTATAAGAATAATTGCATTTTTCGAGAAATTTGATGAAAATTAAGTATTAAAAATAATTGAAATTCTGCCAAAAATTTTTGAAAATAATTGAATTTCGGAGAAGAATGTTATTGTTTATAAAGATAATTGAAATTTTGACATTTCCAGGGTTTTCCAGAATTCCATGTTGCGTGGCAACTCTGAATAATTATATCTTTTTACAATATTAATTTTTTCCAAGTCTTAGGATCATCTTAATTTAATTTAAAAATAAAACCAATATCATAAATTGTACAAAAGTTATAATATTGTAAACCTACCTTACTTTTACCCAAAGATGAAATATAGAAATCTACTTCAAATATATCTCATTTTCATTTAGAAATTCATTTAGAAATTTAATTAATTTCTAGCACACTGGTTTTCAACCAGAAAATATACACTATTTAAGCAATTTTATATTTTACTTTTATTTTCTTTCATTCTGTTTGAACCCTAATTGTTACACGATATAACCGTCTGGTGTAAAGAATATAATAATGTTTCCAATTGATAATCACAAAACTTTTTTTAAAAACATTTATAATTTTCATTTAATTATAATCAAACATAGGTACTTGATTCTTCTATATTAATCTTCAATTTTTACATTTCTATTTATTTATGTTCAGAACTGTCAACGAAAACTAACATGGCGGCCTGACTCAGCCTGACTGATGATATCAGAATTATTGCGCTTGCGTATACGTATAAATACTGGTTCTGGTATAAATATGATAAAATGTATTATGCTGATTATGCTGCATAAACATATACATATATATAGGTATAATATTAACATTAACCATATTAATTCTTTTTGATTAAGATAAAAAAACAGCTTAATGATAAATTATTAGAACGTTAATTATAAAATAAAATAAAATAAAATTTCTTCAATTTTACAGTTGATATATAACGATTCTGCAAAATGAACATCAATTTTGAAGGAAAACGCATTCTTGTCACTGGTGCTGGCCAAGGTTCAGAAAACTTATATAATTTATTAATTTTCTCTTTCCTCCATTACATTTAAATTTAATAATAGTTATAGTATTTCTAAATGTTTCGATTTTAAAATTAAAAAATGCATGAGTGAAAATAATTAATTTTTTCATATATATTTATATATTGAAGAAAAAAATCATTTATAATTGCAATAAAATAATTATTCAGTAATTACACTGATTTTCAGGAATAGGCAAAGAGTTGAGTAAACGACTTTCAAATTGTAAAGCAACGGTCATTGCTTTATCTAAAACTCAAAAACACCTAGATAATTTAAAGGCGGAAAATCCAAAGATTGAAACAATATGCGCAGATTTGAAAGATTGGAATGCAACAAGAAGAATAGTGCAAAGTGTTTTGCCAATTGACTTGTTGGTCAACAATGCTGGTGTAGCTCTGTTGAAACCTTTTCTCGAAGCGACTTCAGAGGACTTTGATCTCACTTTTGATGTAAATGTTAAGGCAGTAATGAATATCTCGCAAATAGTTGCAAAAGACTTGATACAAAGAAAAATGCCTGGAAGCATTGTAAATTTGTCTTCTCAGGCAAGTGAAGCAGCCCTTAAAAATCACACTGTTTATTGTGCTTCTAAAGGAGCCCTTCAAATGTTAACGAGGTATTTAAATCATTTTTGCATTAGTCAAACTTGAAGGGAAAATTGATCTCTGCAATTATTCTTCCATTTATTTAAATATATTTTACTAATAATAATTCATTAAAACTATGTCACAATGAATTAAAAAGATGTTAATTTCAGAAATATGGCTCTTGAACTTGGACCTCATAAAATTCGAGTGAATTCTGTAAATCCGACTGTGGTTTTAACCGAAATGGGTCGACTTGGTTGGAGTAATCCTGAGAAAGCCCAAGAAATGTTACATAAAATCCCTCTAGGTCGTTTTGCAGGTAATAACTTTACATTTGATATGGGTATACAAAGTGAACATAAATCTAAATTATACCGTATTTTTATACCATAATTTTATTTTCATGTATACTTTACAGAAGTCGATGAAGTTGTAGACGCTGTTGTATTTTTATTAAGTGATTTTAGTTCTATGATAAATGGGATTGCTTTACCAGTTGATGGAGGCTTTTTAAGTACATAAATATAGTAATTCTATTAACAGTCCACCCACATGACATGAGATCTTCCGCTAGAGTTATATATTATATTTATATACAAGTAGTACAAATTTTTCTATCAGGGTTTTTAGTTTTTCTAAACTTTTATATGAATTGTATAATATGTTAAATAAAGTTCTTCTGCAATCTCACTCAGTTGTATTGTGAATTAATAAAGAAAAAACCATAAATTAATATTCCGCAAATAGTTCTTCTCAAATAAACAGCGGCTCTTCAAATATTGCAGCTTTAATTACCTGGAAGGAAATAAACATTTTCAAAGGCTAAATTTCATTTGACATAAATAGAAATTGATTTTTTCAATATTTAGTTGAAATAAACAAAGCCCCGGGTCCCCCTTATGATGGGATGGTCTTAAAATTATATCTACATGACTATAGGATGAATCGGATTGATAAATAAATTGAAAAACATGAAACATTTTCATTTCAAAAATTCGTCATTCTCTTTATTTATTCTTTACGAAACTGGATGTCATGCGGTACTGAACTTATCGTGCCGTATTTGAAAAAGAAATTGATATTTGGAAAACGCTAAATAATAATTTATTGTTTTGTATTATTTGTAATATAATTGCTTTTAATTTCTTCTTCTTTTGCATCTTCACATTATAGATTCCCCCCTCCCAACATATACAACTTCTCCCGCCGTACACATGTGATTAGAATAATTGTATATACATATACATATAAGCTAAACCTCACATTTTCTTACACTTGGATCTTTTTTCGATTCACGATTCAGTTCTTTGAAAATACGCCTAGGCACGCATTTCTCAATTATTCTCATAGGCATTTCGATTTGACATTATTTTGTCTTAGCATGTAAGAAATATTAACTTCAATCAAAGCTTTGACTTTGCTTTTCCTTAAAAATCTCTCAACTTATGCTACAAGATAATTAGAAAAGTACCATATTGATAATTTACATACGAGTTGAAGAGCGTTTAATTTTTAATTTTTAATTTTATTTATTTTTTTTGTTTGTTTTGTATATTAAAAAATCTATCTAATAATTTATAAAGTTCACAGAAACACTTCGCAACATGGAAAAATGCTTTTAAAAATTTTTATTTTTTCAAAGATTTAACATTTCTCACATAATTAGTTAAATTTCTTTTGTTTGTTTGTTTGTTATATTTAAAAAGAATATATTGCAAAAATTCTTAAAGAATTAATTATGTATATAAAAGTAAATCATTAGCAACATTTGGAATAAAATACACGTGACACGAAGAAAAAAATGGGAATCGTGCCGCATGCTGGCAGTGTAATGAAAAAATTTGACTTTTAAAAATTTCATTAATGAAAATTGTCAGAAAGGCAGGAACAAATTTGAATCGAAAAATGAAATGCGAAATTGGTACTTTCTGCATAACGCACATTATCACGTTTTTTTTTATTTTAATAGAGGTTACTTTTTAAAAACGAGCTTGAGTTATAAATGTCATTTTATTAATAGAGAATGAATGAATGAATGAATGAATAAAATCGAAGATGTAATTTTGAATATCTATTAAAATAAAATTAAAGTTCCTAAATTTTAATATCAACAAAATCTATTCCTTTCACAATCATCATAAATAAAAAAAGAAACATAATTATTTCTTCTCAGAATTTGTCAACAGTTTTTGGGATAAAAATTTTGTAAATAATTTCCTATCAGAAAGTATAGGTGTTGACATTTTGAAAATATCGCTTGAGCGTTAAATTCTAGGATAATAATTAATGCCAATCTTAATGAAATACGATATAAACATATTTTAAATATACGAATAATTGGTGCGATTCGACGATTTCATTCAAGAATTTAAAAAAATAAAAATAACAATTGCACAGAGATCGAAGATTTTTCCATTGTTTCAATACACAAATAGTACCACACTGGACACGTAGAACACAATTGTTTTTTTCTCCTTTCGTCATAATCATATATTTTCTATACAAATAATTTGATAATTATTTTCCAAACAAAAAATATCTTACATTTATTCATTAAATTTAGCACTAGAAAAATCGTATTTATAAAAAAACAATAATGAAGACATGAAAAAGTAAATCAGAATTTGCATATTCGACGAAAATTTGTATTTAAATAAAAATTATGCGCTTTTCGTAATAAACAATATACATACTTTTATCTAAGACAATTAACGAATTCATTAGACACACAACAATCCTTTTGTCTCATGGGTTGAAGCATCGTATAAAAATTATGGTTAGGACAGGAGAAGAAAGGACCTACCTACCTATCTAACTAAATCTAACTACTTAGCTATTACATGTGCTAAGATATTCATGTATTTAATTGCAATTTCTTTCCGTTAAACGTTCAATTCAATTACACTTATATAGAAACCTCTTAAGAATTATCCAATGTTTATTTTCAACCCTGACACTTATTGGCTGATAAAAAGAACAAGTGTCGATTTTGACCAGCTGCCAGATTGGCGGTAACTCCTTCATTCATTCGTATGGGACGTTTTCAGCCATCAATCAGGATGGATGGATCCTCTTCTGTCGTCGCATTAATGCGTCAGTGCGTCACATTAACGCTTCCAAATAAAATCACTTAATCGATAGTTTAATACACTGCTGTCCACTTTATTCACCTTTCATTTAAAAATCTGCGCACAGCATTTCCCTCTTTTTTGTATTATTTATCGAAAATAGCGAAAATAGTAAACAATTACTTTATCAATCCAAGACATTTAGAATCTTATTTTTTAGACACTTGTGTCAAATGCTCAATTTTCAGCTGTTACATTGTATATTTAAATATTAAAACTATTGATTTTTCAAATCATAGTATGCATCTAAAGTTAATTGCTTGCCAAATTAGCATCTCTCGACTTTCATTTTATATCAAAAAAATTTTTCTCTTAATAAAAATTTCGTACGCTTAAAAATTTATCTTACCCTCAATTCTAATGTTTTACAAGTTAAAATTCTAAAATGTATGTGTTTAATGCAAATGTAATGTATAAAAGTATTATTGTTTATTACTATTATTATTACTATTATTATTATTATAAAATTTTAATATTTATTATTATCAGTATTGTTATTTTTATTCTTATCATCATAATCATCAATTATCATTTCTATTATCATCGGCTTCATTAAAACCATTATTATCGTTATCGTCGTCGTAATCATCATTATCAACATCCTTATCTTCATTATCATCATCATCATCACACCATCATCATAATCATCATCATCATCATCATCAACATCATCATCATCATTATCATCATCATTATCATCATCAGAATTGATATAACAATAACCGTACTTTTTTTTAAACAGTCTTAAGTATCGGTAACTAAAACGCTCAAAAAAACGGTTTTTTACAATAAAAATAAGAATTGTTTTTGTAAGGTAGTTTACCTTGGATTGAGTACTTGAGAAATTTCGCCAGTATGATATTGTTAAATTCACACTAATTAATTCCGAAAATGTTTACCAAATTTAATTGAAAATTTTGAAAGAAATAATAGAGGCGAAAGCCTTTTATTTGTTCGTTTCATCGACTCATTCAGAGTGTAAAGATTTACAATCTTAAAAAAGAGTGTAGATCCTGAGAAAGAGGGAATACTCGTAAAAACTCTACCATGACACATAAACACACGAGCACCATAATGATAAAATGTCTACCCTTCTTTTTCTCTTTTTTGTTTTTCCTACTTTGTGATCTAGTTTAGTTTGTTAGAATTCCTTTTACCTGAAATTTAAATTATTTAAGTTATAAAACAGTACTTTGTTTTACTGCAAAAACGCAGTCAAATATTAGAATATAAACAGTGAAGAAAAGAAATCAATATTTTTCAATATTTTTTTTCTGAAAAAATTTCCATTAAATTTTCAAAAATTTTAAATATCCTTCAATTATTATTGAACTTTTAAAAAAAATGAAAATATGCCTTTTTTCATTTTTACACACTTAAATAAATGAAGCATTGAGAATAATAACATTTTTAAAACAATACTCTCTCATTCAACGAAAAAGTAAAATTTATAATTTGTGTTTATTTTATTCTCTTTTATCTCAACTATTTTAAAAAATGATTTATATAATCAGGGTGGTCATGATTTTTTTAACCAAAATGTTAATTCAATTATTTTGAAAATTTTGGAATTAAAATTCTTTAAAATTTGATTTTCAAATATTTTAACAAAATTTAACTACAATAAAAATTGAAATGAGTTACATTTAATACTAAAAAATATGATATTTTGTACCAATTTTGGAAAAAAAGAATTTAATATAGGTACATATAGTATTTTGAATTTGTTAATTTACTATTAATTGTTAATCACATTATAGTCAATGATGGAAACTCACTTGGATCTAGGAGGTTTTTCAACCGCAGTTGCATTGCTACAATGTAATCTCCGACTGAACCTTCGCTCCTGGCCACCAGTTGCTGCTGCTGAAAGAAACCATGAAAAACCCATTTAAATAAATTTATCTAGAGCTGATTAAATTAAATTTAATTAAACAATTTCCTCTTGAAATTACTAATCTCCAAATTTAATTTTTAATTGCGTTAAATCAATTTTTTTCAATTTGTAATATTTTGTCTCTCATTAAACATCTAACAAATAATTGTCTGATGTACTCTATAAGAAAATGATGAAAGCTTTTTAGTTTTTCCATTCAAGCTAAATGAAACAAATTTGAACAAATTTTAATACAATTGTGAAATAGTCAAGAGTGGTATTATATTGAAATAAACGAAAGCCAATCCTTGAATGGAAAAACATTTATTTTTATATTCTATTCATTATTATGCGAAGAAGCTGAATCATTACAATAAAATTTTTGTTCTGAACACGTCAATAAAAAAGACAGAAAAAAATTATGGAATACGAAAACAGTATTTTTAACAAACTGAAAACTGCTTCTAAACGGCATAAGTTGCAAAATACCATTGAAAACTATCAAAAATCTTGTACAATTTTTTTACGTAAAACTTGTTGAATTTCATTTTAAAAAAGTTAAACTAAAAAAAACAAATTTTGTATACTTACACACAAGCTCACACACACACGTCCAAGTATAATAAGCAAAATAATAATTATTCGAATTCGACTCAATAATCTTTCAAAATCACTCGAATTGCACATTCACTAATTATAATAAAATGAAAAAAAAAAATTAAATGAAAATGATAAACATTGTTTACTGTAATAAAATTTAAAAAATTGAGTTGTATTTTAATATCTATTTAAGTCATTAATTAAAAAATACACTAAATCTAAAATTACTTTTAAAATTGTTTCTCAAAAACTTTTTTTTTCAATAATAAATTTATCTTAATAATTGAGGGGCTAGTTTCAAATTGAAACACAAATATCACATTCAAGCGTATTATTCTTGGATAAACATTCTTTGAATTAAAAAAATTATAAATATATCCCTTAATTGTTAATTATTAGTAAAAAAAAATATTTTTTGTAGAAAATTAAATCTTGTACTTATTTTGAAGAATAAGCAGTGAAGAAAAGAAAAGTATATAAAGTTAGAAAGCTAAATCAATAAGCTGAATACAAATATGTAAATATAACGCTGCAAATAATGCAAAACAACCGTAGAACAAAAACTATAAAATGCAGTGCATGTATGCGCAATTGTTTCAAATACAAAGAATAACATTAAATCTATTAATTATTTCTTTAGAGAATTTATTCAAGTCAAATTGAAATCTCAGTGGAGCATCACGAGTCAAATTATTTTTAAAAACATATACAAACAAAAATATCTAAGAAAATTCCTTTAATAATATCAAGTTTTCCTTGCGGTTTTCCATGACCGACAGAATCACTAGAATTTGTTCCTTGACTCAAAGTGTCCAAGTCCACTTTCGTGATCCACCCTAGACATTTAACATTTTCCATTTTGTTTGAATTCTGAAGGCAATATCTCCCCAAATGACTTATTGAGTATCCGATCTCAAGACTGTCTTTATTTCCTTTGTCGCTGCAGTCGACGCTGTAGCTCATGTATGACTTGTTCTCGTTCTCGGACTTCTCTCGGAACATCTTGAGAAATATCTTCCGCAGATTTTCTTCGTCTAGTTGAGAGTCTTTCATTTTTTCTCTGTTGATTATCATACAAGTCTTCATATTTTGATCCTCTTTGTTTTGATTCCAGCTGTTGAACATGTTCATTTTCTCGTTTATTGTCTGTTGGTGATTCATATGTCGCTCGTCTCCATTCCAAAGAATGGGGTATTCGTCTAAAAAAACCTGATCTTTGGGACAGACTTGTGAGCAATAGTTTTTACATCTTTCAGACGCTGTCACTGGTGCATCTGGGCTGGCACTGGGCTGATTTATTTCCCTTTTGGAGTGTCTGGAGTGTCCTTGATTTGAGTCAATATTTTTTGCGAAAAAATGTAAGTTACGACTTATTTTTTTAAACAGGCCCGGTTTAGAAATCTTAGTTGTCAAGGTGTCGTGCAAGTCTTTCCTTGATTGTGTTTGATTAATGGACGTTAATGGACGATTTTCTTGTAATTCAGGATCGTTATTCGATAAAAAGTACGAGTTCTTGGCATCAGCACCCAATGATATGGCTCTTTCATTAGAAGAGTCTAAACTTCTGGAAGTCTTCTTTTTTTCATTATTTATTTCACTTTTACTAGTTTCTGGATAATGTTTGAAAGTATTCAATTCTTCGACTCCACTCTCTTCTCTATTTCGAATCACATTATTTTCAGCTTTGTACCCACGTATTGAGAAATTTTGTTTCTCTCGACTTTTACGAATCAAGTGATCGGAAGATGAAGCGGAAGGAGGAGGAAGAAAACGATCGCGAGAAGGTTTGTTAGTGTACTTTCGATTGACTTTGTGATGCTCCAAGCTGAGACACGCTATGCCTAGACAATTCGCGGGATTGGCTTTATCGTGTGAGGATTTAAAAGAACTAAATTGATCAAGATTTGATTTCGACGATTCACAGGCTGCACTTTCCTGTGATTGGTGCACTTTGTGATCCGATTGTTGTTCATTCACAAAGAATTTGGGGTAGTATGCTTGCTTTTTACCTGGGTTGTCCTGATTGTCCTGGTCACCACGAATATCAGGGGTGTGTTGCAGTTTTGTCTTTCGCTCAGGAATACCGGCATAAACCATTGTTGAACCCACTGCTGCTCCAGAAGCGTTCGCCAATCCTTGTCGCGTATAAGGTCTAAAATTATAGCACCACCATTAAGCACTTGAAAGAAAGTTGGTATTATGAAACACAAGTTTTTATAAAATATATTCAAATTAATTTCTACTTTAAAACAAATTTCTTTTCTTTTGTTTAAAATGATGTATATAATTATACCTTGCTCTGTGTTCCTGGTCGTTATTGGTCCCGGAAGGAAGAGGGGCATTAGTCGGCTGCGAATGCGTCGGTGCTTGTTGCGCCGCAGGCAAAGATGGTTGCCTTGCACTGCCAAATTTCAACATATTCCAGTCAAATACGTAATCATAGGTAAAGCCTTGACTATGAAATAAAGTTCGAAAGAGGTGTCGGAGATATGAGTAATCCGGCTTCTCTTCAAAATGTAATTGTCTGCAGTATCTCAGATACGTGGTGAATTCAGCTGGAAATATCAAAGTATAAAATTACAAAGAAATAATTTATTTCTAAATCAATGAATTAAAGGAAAATTACCTGGATAACCTTTGCACAAATCTTCAATTGGAGTTGACATTTTCTTTTCTGAAATTCGCTCATACTTTTGTCTTTTCGTGGCAGCTTTTAATCCCTGCCAGGGCAAACTTCCTCTGTTAAAATACATAAGAACATAGCCTAATGATTCAAGATCATCTCTACGGGATTGTTCGATTCCTAAATGCGTATTTACACTAGCGTATCTGTAAAATATACATAACTTTTTATTTACTTTAAACTCATTATTTTCAAACTCAACCAATTTTTATTTCAACAACAATTACCTTGCTGTGCCGGTGAGATTTTTGTTTTCCCGATATGGAATATGCTTGTTATTTCGTCCATCCCGATACTTTTTCGCAAGTCCAAAGTCTATAATGTAAACGAGATTTCCCTTCTTTCCTAGTCCCATAAGAAAATTGTCGGGTTTGATATCCCGGTGGATAAAGTTGCGACTGTGTATATAGTCCGTTCTGCTTATCTGATTGAGAAAATTCTATTATTACAGAAGTGAGCATGAACTACCATCTGTGACACAACTTTCAGGGTTTTGAATAATTGCAAATAAATCGTAGATGCGCAAGAAACAATAAGAAAAAATCACCTTTGCAACTTTTAACAAAAAACATTCACATTCATTGTGCAATCATTAAAATTTCACTTAAAGAAAATTATTATTATTAATTTATTAATATTTCTAAATGATAAAAACGTTATGGTATTTAAACACAAGTTATAGAGAACAATAGATTCGACTAAAAAAAGAACAAACACTTACCAATTGATCAGCAAGAAGGAGAACAGTTTTTAAAGTAAACCTTCTCGAACAAAAATTAAAGAGATCTTCAAGGGAGGGTCCAAGCAACTCCATGACCATAACATTATAGTCACCTTCGGATCCGCACCATTTTATCGTTGGTATTCCCACTATAATTACATAAAAATAAGGTCATGTAAAATTGAAAAATGTAATTTTTCACAAATATAAGTTAGCGTAAATTAATACATTTAATTACTTACCACCACCCTGCATCATTTGATAAAATTTGGATTCTATGTGAAGTTGAGGGTGCCGTGTTTTAATACATTCCAACTTTATGGCGACTTCTTCGCCAGTAGAAATATTGGTTCCTTTTAAAAAATATTACATTATTTTAATTAACTTTTAATCAGAACACTATCAATGGTAATAAATTTTTCTACTATTAAAAATGCATTCCAGTTAGGAGAGTGTAAATAAAAGGAAAAGAATCATTGTATTAATAGACTAAACAAAGGGGAAAATATTGCAAATATTTGCAAAAGAAAGAAAAGTAAGAAAACTTGTTAATTTGGTAAGGAATAAAGCCGAGGAAGAATAGTTCTTTGTATACAACATGAAAAATAATTACCAAACTAGTACATGACAGATATGGTTTGAATAACAAATACACAATATTGTGAAGAATGATGACAATATTTGAATTTACTTACCTAAATATATGTCTCCGAAGGAACCGCTCCCGATTTTTCGTCCTAACCGGTACTTATTGCCCACGCGAAGCTCCATCTCAGCTATTGTATTGATGAAGAAATTTTACTATCTTCGTTTCCTCAAGTCCAATTCCGCCTGTCGTAATTTTCACAAAATCTGCAGCAGGACCTGATCATCCATATTTGATTGCGCTACCGACTACGGGTTTAACATTTTCTTCTTTCTTTGGAGTCCAGGAGTATAGCTTATGACGATGGCGCTGGCGTTGTTGTACTTGCACTTTGACGACAAGGGGAAAGTTAGACGAAAATATTTTTTACAGAAACAATTGACTTGGAAATGGAGAAAAATATTGGTAATGTGAAGGCCGTATTTTTGATTATGCCATACTCAATTATTTATTGCTTTACATATTGTTCATAACCAGAATGATAAAAACTTGTCAGGTCACCCACGATGGCCGACACCCTCGTTATGTCTTGAAAACAGAACCTCACACACCAGGCGTCTCGAAACGTCAAAGGAATAAACGAAGACGCTCTTTCGAAGGCATTGCTTATTTACTTCCGTCAAGATGAAGGTTGACACATATCTACTTTGTATAGATCACTCACAGTACAACACTCACGATTACTTTAGAGCGAGCGTACTAAACTTGTTTCGACACGAAAGGTCTATTTCTTGATTTCTCGCACTCACTCTCACTCTCTTTCTCTCTCTTTTACTCTCTTTCTTGAATCACTGTGCTAAATTGTATGTAACAGTTAGGTCAACTTCATTATAAAAGGGTGTTGGAAACTACCAATAAACTATGTAACTGGAATTCGTCCTACCATTGCGGAGAGCAACCCAAGAGAGATAGCAAGTTATTGAATACCTGTTCTCTTCTTATCCATATCCAGGAGAAAAAATCAAGTTGTGCAAAATGAAACACTTTCCATATAATAATACAATAGAGCGTCCAAAAAGTGAATGTTTTGAGAAAATTTCAATAAACTTAAAAAGGTATAGTCGATGCCTTCTCTTTGGAAAAACACTATTTTTGCGAAATTTGTCTCGGTTGTCTTTGTGATTTATAAAATTAGCTAATTAAAGACCAAAGAAGAATAGATTTTTCAATGAAAAAACGCAATCGTAGAATGTGTATAGGAAGGATAGTAATATTGTCCTTCTCTTTCTCATTTTGTTTACGTTCTCGATTACTACCAACCTACCAAGGGCCAGTCCCATGGTAACGTGAAACGGAAAACATTTATCGGTTTAACAAATAATAATTCTTTATTAGAATATTTCCATTGAATCGGAGGTTCTTATTGGCTAAACGTTTTCCGTTTCCCGTTTTTACGCTGACATGGGACAGTACCTTAAAGGTACAGTACACAACCTAGTCATGAGTGTGAATTAAGGTCTTTACACTCATTTTTAAACGCAAAACGCTGCGTTAGGGTACGGTACCACGGCTTTTGGAAAACTATTCGTCTTTCTCTTTCCTATGGCAGTGGCATAATTTTGTCTCTCTCTACATTTTCCGTTTTTGGAAAACAGAGTGAGACAAACTTATGCCACTTTCAAGTAAGAGAAAGTGTGAACACGCCTTTATCCATCAATATTTCAAATTATTCTGGCAACATTTAAATGAACACTTTTAACAAGAAATAAGAAATGAGTTTAGATAATTCAGAAATATAAAGAAGTTTAATTTAGTATAAAGTGTTATTACAATTGTAATACATATATATTTCTGTAGAAATCAAAGTTTACGGTTCATGAGTGAAGCAGTTGTTTGTAGTTAATAATAATAAACTAAATACTTTACTTTTATTTAAAGTAATACATTAACATTTTTTTTTATATTAAAAGAATGTCTTAACATTATGGTATAAACAGTAATTAGTAAAAATTCTTCTCAGTCATACAATATTTAAATTGACAAATTTTTGTTAAAAAAATATAAATGTATATAAAATTTTATTGTAAATGTGATTTTTTTACATTTTTAACACTTGTTCTCAATTTTGTTCCGTTTTTTTGTTTTTGTAGTCAAATTGTTTCTTTAATACATGTACACATAAGCGTAGAAAGTAGATTTTTCATATTTTATTTAAATTAGATAAAATACGCTTAGAAATTGTATAGATGATATGAAGAATAAATGTTTATATTATATAATATAAAATTGAACCGCGGGCAAACAAAGGGGCTTACGCGAAAAACAACAATTTAAATTTTTTATCATCATATTATAAATTTTTAATTTCTTTTAAAATTGAAATTTTTAATAAAGAATAATAGCATCCAGGAGCTGACGAAAACGACGGTGTTTTTCGCGTAAGCTCTTTTTAATTGTTGGCGGTTTAGTTTATAACAAGTTATAACCACAATAAAAAAAGGCACAATGCAATATTTTATATAAAATATTTCACTTTTCGTTGTAAAAGAGCTTAAATATAATTGATGAAATTTATAATAATCAAATATTTATTTTCGGCTTAAAAAGATAAAAGAGAAAAATTATTAATTTATTTTACACAAAATTCATTTGTATTTAATTGTAAAATTGATAGTCTAAATACAAACGAGAACAATTTCTAATATGATTATAAAATAAATATTTTTTTAAAATTATCCTGTCAATTGGAATGAATAGAAAGTTTCTTGAATGACAATAATCTTGAGATCAAAAGTGCAAAAGTTTCTCAGGTTGATATTATTAATTTATAAATGAAAAACTACTAGCTTACAGAAATTAAAAAAAATAGATAGTACATACAAAAATTTCCTCCACCAACTTAACAAATAAATTATCTAAACGACCATACATAAGATTAAAAACATGTTTACGCACCAAATTAATTTTTCAACGAATTGAAACAGTCAATTAACTTTTCTTACATTTCAAGAATATATGTTATATTTCTGTTTCGAATTGAAATAATGAGAAAGTATACACATACTTAATTCGATCTATAAAAGAAAAGCTTCAACAAATACTAATAGACTTTCTTTTGTTTTAATCCATTTTTCAATTGTTAAATTTAATAAATATTTTTTTAAACTTGTGAATTTCAATGATCGTTTCAAAACGTTTTATAATACATTATGACGATTATAATTAGCATTGAGTAATTGACTATAATGTAAAACGAACAAAAGAAACTGCATATAAAAAATATGTTTTTTGTAATCCAAAATATATAAAGTTTCTCTGTATTTTATTTAGAGAAAAAGGTAAGGCAACCTGAATACTGTAGTGGAATAAGTCCAGAATTGGATAAAGCAATTCTCATTTCTCATATCTAATTTTAGACTGGTATGGCTGTTAACATTTTTTAGTGTAATTTACCTCTGTACATCTAAGAGTAAAATTTTTACAGTTAGTCTCTCTTTCTGGTTCAACATTATCATATAATGTTATATATATCTATATAAAATGATTTAAAAAAGCTTTGTAAAACTTTGATATTTCTTTTTATAAGTACGATTATTTTTCATCTGCGTTTAAAAATAATGCATTTTCATACCTAAATTACAATCATTGTCAGTAAATTAAACAAATAAAATTTGTTTCCAATAATACGTGTATCTTGTTTGCCAAAAGTCAACAAAAAGGCAATAAAATATTTCTTAAAATTAAATACTACCAGGATCAAGAAACAGCTATATATGAACAATTATAACCGGAATAATACAAGCAATGTTATTGCACAAAGTCGTGATTTTTTAATACAAATTTCAAAATCACCGATTTCTCAAAAAATGTTTTAATTTGTAATTTTAAAATACTTTCTATGTACTTAAAATAAAATCTTATCTTGGTAAAATCCTGGTTTTTGCAGTCATCACGGTAAAATTTTGAAAATTACTTTTTCAAAATTTGTATCCTACTTAATCAAATGCGATTATTATTTTGAATACACTGGTGAATATAAAAAATTGTTAATTCGCTTGCTTGTTTACTATAAAAACTGTGTGTACAGTGAACAACAACAGTGAATATTAAAAATATAATAGGAAGATTCTACTTTTAATATTATAACTATACTTTCAGGTTATAAGATACTTAATTATTAGAAAAGTTATTTCAAAGTTTAATCTCCAAATTTAATTTTCATAACTCGTTGCCAAAGTTATTGAATTTAAACTTTTTCATATCTTAAAATTCTGTACGGAGTTGCTAAAATTGTCCATAGGAATATTTTTAAAAATGATCTAAAAGAACAACAACGTCACTGTACACTTTTGTTAAGTAAAGGCACTTAACTTCATTTCATCGATTGATAAAAATATTGAACAGTTATTTAACTTTGCTTTTATGAAATAACTAAGAATTAACTTCTTCTGGTCTTGCAAGAGGGGCCTTTGATTTTTCAGTTGTAACTGTGGTTGTGGTCACTTCTAACTTGGCAAGTTCTGCAGCACTAAGCTGTAATATAAATTAATAATTCATATAATTCATATTCTAATATTTTACTAAATGAATGTATTGTTGATTAAAACTGAAGGGGAGAAACCACATTAGAGGTTTCAAAGAATCGATTTTTTTTCATAACTTGGACAGCGCAGCTCCAGGACCAATAGTTGTCATTCGTCCATTTCATTTGAATAATTTTATCCCTTTCAAAATAAATTGCCGAAAAATAGCTAAAAATCAGAGTCAGCGTCCTAATGTGGTTTTCCCTCTTAATTAATACGCAATAAACTTTTAATACCTATTTAAAAATAGTAAAGCAAAAGAATGATTGAATAATGTATTTATATGTTAAAATGGCTACTTTTATAAAGTTAAATTTTTTTTGTGATAAAGCATTTGTAAGCTACATATGTAAGAAGGTTTTTGTTAGTATGATAATAAGCAACATAAATATCATGCTAAGCTGTTAGTTTTATTAATATTTTAAAAAGCTAAAGTTAATTAAGTTTCTTTCCCCTCAAACTCAGTAAGTATAATCAGACTCAAATTCTGACCTCAACATCAGGAGGTAGAGTGATTGTGGCGTGCGTCGTTGTTGTTTCTATTCCACTACTAATTTCTCTTTCTACTGTAGTACCTAGAAAGCACATAATAATAATATTACTAATAACATTTTTCAAAAAAGTAAATTGCCTGAATTAAACTTACTGATCACTGATTTTTTACATTTAATAAAAAAACTTGTAATATTCTTTAAATTTTGCTCATAAAATAACAATGAAGCAGACTTACTGTTGACATGTGACCCTTCACTCGCTTGAATGGTTTCAACTTCTCCGTTAGTTGTTCCGTTAGTAGTCGATTGTGATATGACAGTTGTGGTTTTCACAACAATTGTTTGATTTTGAGTCGCTGTTTCTGACGTTCTTGAAGTTATGTCCATTTTAAGTCCTGCTAATCGATTGTGAAGGTCCTCTGATGAAGTCGCATTTTTAAAAAGCGAACTATTACTGAAAAAATAGTTGACAATATTTTGAAAATCGAGAAAATAAGTTAAAATTATAATATAAAATTCACTTCATAAATAACTTACAGCAAATGATCTTTGACACTGTCAATAGTAATATCTCCGACAGAATTTTGATCTTGACGATCATCATCTCCATTAACATCTGTAGTACTAGCAGCTGGCTTTAGAGAAGGCTCCTTAGGAGAATCTTCACCACAAGCTAAAATTAATGTGTAAGAATTCGAAACTAACATTTAAATATTTAATTCACAAAGACATAAACTTGATAAAGCAAATAGATACAATTTAACAAAAATTTTAATTCAGTGATTCGTTATGAATTAGCAAAGCAGATTTTCAAAAAACACTCATCTGAGTTATACAATTCTTTAAGATGAAAAATGAGTATTGCATATAAACTGATTGTGATTGATGGAAGATTATTTTAAAAATCATTATTTAAATGAAATTTACTTACTTGACCCAATTATTCCATTCTCTGCAATATTTTTCGTAACAGAGTCCGACTGATCATCTTTAGCTTCATCTTCTGTACCATCTTCTGTACTCTCTTGCTCTATGCTCTCTTCCTTCGTTTCCGTCGACAGCGATCTGGCATTCGGTGGTAGGCTCAACGCACAATACGCTCTAACTCCTTTTGAAGGTGTCAAAGAAATTCGCTGAAGCTCGGAACTTGAATGTAAATATAAAGCCTCAGCAGATCTTGTAAATGACAAAGAGGAAATTCCACTGAAAATATAAGAAGGACACATCAATTTAAAAATCAAAATAGAAGAACCAAGTCATGTAAAAAAAATTATATTGAACATAACGTACTTGATATCTTCTCTTTTAATAGCTGCCGTATTGACTTGTCTTCTTAATTCTGGAACACTGAGCACTAGACATTCTCCTAAATTTGTAAGACAAAGAAGGCACGTTTCTTCATGGAGACCTGAAGGTTCTATTGAACAAGAAAATTTAGCAAATCCTGTTTTTCTAACTCGTGAACCCTCGTGTGCTGTCAATTTATATTTGCAAAAAGGTTTTAAAGATGGAAGATTAAAGATCTTAAATTGCTCCTCGCTGGCAATGACAACTCTGTGTGGAGAATTCATGTCTGGTCCCGAACTAACTCCCTTTTCAACTTCAAAAGCTTCTGGCAGAGGAATACTGGACCCATCGAGAATTGTAATTGCAATTACAGGAGCTCGATGCTTTAGTTGAATTTCTTTACCCAAGGTACAATTGACATCTTCTTCCTTACGTCTTGCTCCAGCAGGAATTGCTAAAGTGAAAACATACACTGTCCCGTTATTCGTACCGGCCCAGAGTGTAGGCGTCGTATTTTGCACTGCAATAACAATAACAATATTAATAAGTTTTATAATTATAATATAAAAGATTTCTTGTAATTTAATTTAAGTAAAAATATGAAATTTTTCTGTTGAGTAATACTTACTACTTATAATATAACTTCTAGCAAAATAGAGACACCGAACCATTGAACCAAGAGCATCATCGACAGGTCTCGCTTCAACTTGTCTCTCAACTGATTTTATCACTTCTCCTGGCGAGAGTTCTGCACTTGGGGAAGATGTAATGGTAGGCCTAAAATTAAATTATATAATAAATTAGATTATTACTATCTATTTTACTTTTAAATTAAAAAAAATAAATAAATAAATTATGAAAATGATTATAAATTTATGTGTGGCACTTACGTTTCTTTCTTTTTTTCTTGAACAGTATTTCGAGTCGGACTACTGGCATTTCCACGACGTTGTGATCTACCTTTTCTCAATCTTCTGAACGATTCTCTCAATGACTTCTTAAATGATTTTCTTCTAGAAATCGGAGTATCTCCAGCACCAGATAGATCTAAAGAAAGATAAGTTTTAATTGTGGAATGACGGAATAATTTATTAAATTTTCATTTGAAGAAAGAAAGAAACTCACCATTAGGATTTAGTGTGCATTTGACATTCACAGCTTTTGCTCTTACGTAGTCAAACAGAGCTAATCCGTGAGCGGTTCCAGCCGCAATAAGTCCCCATTCGCTTTGCAGAGCCAATGCTGTTATTGCAGCTGGAGGATACAACTGCAGCAGAGTTTGCGGTTGGAATCCAACAGCAAAAGAAATACTAGTTGTTCTTGGTGGTAAGTGATCGTGACCTTTCCAGGCAAAACCATCTCTATCATTCACCAAGTTCATGGTGATTGCTTTAATTTCTTTATTAATTGCTTCCGGTGATATACGAGCAGTAATTACATGACCTGCTGTTCCAGCAATGACTAAAGTCAATGAAAGTGGACACAGAAGAATTTTCTTCACGGCCAGTCGTGGATCATCAGAGTAAGGATCAAAAGTGCCCACCTTTCTAAAACGTGGCCACTCATCTTCATCATCTTCTGGAGCTTGTTCTAATACATCTAAATGTTCCCCGGTGAACAAAAGTGATGAATTGTATTTATATAGAGGAGTCAAGGCAACATTCGAAGCGTCCCAAAAGCGTACGGTCCCATCTTCATGACCTGTCAGTAATAATTCTCTCATTGTTTGCTCAGTCTCATCAATTTTTTTCGATAATACAACTCCTCCATCAATCGGCCATTCTTTGTCTGAATAAAGATGTTCTGTCTGTAATTTTCCAGCAGATAAAATTGCATTCCATAAATCTTGTTGAACATTTGGAACATGCTGCGAGCAGGTGACCTGAAATTTACATACTGAATTTAAACTGAGTTTTTGAAAAACAAGCAAAGTTTTTTACAAGACTCTAATAAAATTCATCAAAATTTTTCAGAACAAGAGAAACTTACTGCACTAGCGTGAAGTGATACCAAATATGGTAAAGACATCATTTTCCATTCAGGGTGTGTTAAATCAATTGCAATTAATTCTTCTTCAGCAAGAACAACGAGAGCTTCAGGGCATCCCAACGCTGTATTATTTTCCTTCTCTTCTTCAGATTGCTTTGGCAAGACAGCAAAGAAATCAATGACTTTAGAAGTAAAGTCAAAAGCCACTTGCTTGCTGTTCGTCATTACAGTTATCGTGTGTCTGTCACCATAGCTCGCTCGTGGCATTCCACCAGAAAATATAAGCATCTCTCCGTCACTTAAATTGTTGATAAATTAATTAACGCGTCAAATTAATAACACCTAATTTAATATAATAATTATTAAATTACTGAAAACTTACTCTGCAGTGGAATAAACGACTATTTTCGAAATCGATTTACAAGGTAGAGGGCCATAATGAGTTTTGGGCTCCATAATCTCCTCACTTCCTGGACTCCAGAAGGAATAAGAGCCATCATTGTGAGATGAAATAAATCTGTTCTCTGTGATCCAATAAACCCACTCCAGTTGATTCTTTGAGATGAAGGTCTGTGCACGCGAAAATAAACCCATCAGCTGCGTACACACGTTCGCCAAAACCACCAAAGACACAAACAACAACAACAACAACAGTCAGAAGAAGAGATACCAACTTTTCAACATTCGTGAAATTTTACATCCACCATTTTTTGTAAATTCTCGGACAACACAAAAGCAATTTTTCATATAAAAAATATTTTAATTTTGAGTTTTTAAACTGAAAAATTAAATATAAAAAAAAAGATTATAAATCAAATTAGTGTTTTTGACTCAGGTTGAAACAATTTATTAATGATGTTGGTAATGTAAAGAAGAAGAGGAAAATTATTATAATGACTCTTGCAATGTAGTTGTTCTTTTCAACGGAAGATTAGAATATTTGTCAGTTATGAGTATGAGTGGTTCATTTACAATTATTATAACTGGTGGTCCATAGAAAAAAAGCAAAAAATGTACTTTTAACATACCTGTTGGGCACCTGGAGTTGCTTTATTCCAAAGAACCATTAAACCACGATTATATCCTATTAAAATATTGTCAGGGTGGCCAGGTTGTTCCGCAATAGCTTCTACTGCCCCAGGATTAATTTTGTAATCTGCTGGAACACTAAATTTAAAAAATAAATAAATAAAATTATTTCCGTTCAATTAAACAATAAACATGTAAAATTTTTTTCTAAACTTACTTCTGCATTACAACGTCTTGGTAAATCATTGTTTCTGATATTGTGAAAGTTTTCAATTTTAATAAATAGATATTTCCACCTTCCGTTCCCAAAAGGAGATGTTCGTTTGAAGATTCCAGGCAAATGGCTGATATTTTTTTTAGTTTACCTTCCAAGCATAAGCTTGTTGTTTCCACAACAGAATTGTTATTGATTTCCCATAAATGAAGAGAATTCTCATCACAAAGTGAAACCAAACGCCCCTAAAATTTAAAAACTATTTTTTACCATTGATAAATAGAAATCAGGTAAATTTTTAAATATAGGTCATATAAAGTAATTTTAATACATTTAATACATTTTTAACATTTTTAAAATTTTAAATATTTTAAATATTTTTTAAAAAATAATATTACATTACTTAATTATTATCTTATCATATTAAGCCTATGCTCGAAACAAGAGGCTGATAAAAATATTCTCAATGAAATATAAAAATTCTATATAGGTCGCCAAATGCATTACTTTAAAGAAACGTTTACCTTTTTTATTTAATAGATAGAAAACTATTCAAGGTAAATAGACTTTGAGTGCCCTAATTTAAATTAAATTCAAATCGCCTTCCCTTATCAACTCGTTAAGTGTTTCTGTGAAAACGTACGAGTAAAAATATTCCAATCAATAGGATATTAAATATTGTACATTAGACTACATAGATACTTTAAGTTACTTTTAAACATAGACATCTTCCTAGAAAAAGGAGCCTATTTTCTGAAGCCTGAGCATAAATCAAAGGGAAGACATATTGTTTATTTGCTTTATATGTGTGACGAAAAATGTAAAAAGTACATTGTTTTATCTTACTCATTCAATTACGTTATTTTTACATACAAAATTGAAAAATTATGAAAAGATATTTTCTAACATTGATATGATAATGGACTTACCTCATTTGGAACGGCAATAATTTTAGTAACTGCATTTTTTTCTCCACTCTCGTTTTTATGATGTCCATAAAATTCTACACCTGGTCTTCCAAAACTGTTTTTAAATTAATTTTTTATTGTTAAGGAAATTATCACAGGGCTTGAACCAGTGAAAGTATTTAAAAATACGGACTTCGACTCGGAGTTATCCATTTCTTCGTGTTTTATAATAATTAAAAATGACTGAATGATAAAATCATTATCAATTAAATTATTATTTTCAAGAATTTTGAACTGAAATTCTTCTTTAAATCGATTATTTTTAATAATTTTCGAAAAAGTTCTTTCAAATCCATTTGTTTACAATATTCTATTTTACGAAATTTATAAAAAAAAATTTGTAAATAATTAAAGTCCTGTGAAATTTTTATTATTTTATGAAAATAATTAAAGATTTAAAGGAAAAACATACGTAAGTGCATGAAGAAACTATCCTAAGCAGTTGTAGTAGGGTTTTTTCTTTATTAGCACTAGTCTTTAATTGTTGCTGATAACCCAAACCTGAAGTACTATTCAAAGTTTTCTGTTATGCATATTTTTAAAAGCAGTCAATCGGTTGACATAGTTTTTAAACAAAGTAATGCAGTATAAACTTAAATTTAACAAAAATTTAGTGTCATCCTGGCTTATTATTTTTATTCACAAATATAAGAAATCAATGTACTGAAAAATACGAATAAATTAAACAAAAAGGATACACTTTTATAGCTCCAGATGCTGTTCCTATGATCATAAGTCGTAGACTTGAATCCCAAGCAAAAGCTGTTGGTTTGTTCGGAAAGCCATGTTCTACAGTCTAAAAAATAAAAAACAATTAAATAAATTTGTACTATCGCAAAATAAATCTTGTTATCTAATAAGTAAATAGAAAATTACAATATTAACAATATAGTGAAAACAATTATAACAACCACCATTTGAATTAGCACTGCCTGCTTTTACTTTCTCTCACAGATGAGAATGCCTATTTTCAAGCAATGCAAAATAATTCAAATCATCTTTTTTGATGATCTTTCTTCGTCAAAAATAACTAACATTCAAACATAAACAATGTGTTTAGTGAGAGATTATTAATTTTCGTTACTTTAATCATTTAAAACGAACTCAAATTTTTTATTTATCTTTAGACAAATCTCAATTATTAAAAATAGACGCTCACCACATTCATGACTCATCGATAAATCGTCATCAGTATAAAATATTATATTTAATAACATGTTATATTATATGTAAGTTATTGCTTTAATTAGTCATTAGGAAAATGACTATTTTTACAGAAACCTTCATTATTGTGAGATTGTAATGTGTATGACAGTAACAAAATATAACATTAATAAACTAAAAAAAAGTTCTTTAAAATATATGAGTAAAAATTAATTTATTTTCTGTTTTATTTTATTTTATTTTATAATAAAAAAGAATGTTTTTGTTTAATATTTCAAATTTCATGAGGTGGAAATTATAGAACAATATTCTAGAGAAAGACATTTAAACAAATCTTCTCAGACCATCATTTGAAGCAGTGAAAGTTTTACATACTATAGAAACGTATACAGTAATACTTTTGGTTAAATCAGAATCTGTCGCCATCATAACGCAGTTGATAAGTTTTTAAGAAATTACTGTTCAAAGTTTTTAAATAAATAATTTTATTTAACAAATAATTCTTAGTGCTATTATACTGAATTTTACCACCCGAATAAAAAACTAATGTGAACAGTAACAGGATTCATACTTTATTCTCCTCTTCTAAAGTATTATTAACTTTTAATTAAACTATTCTCAAAGTAGATATATTAAATATTAATCTTTAAAATAAAATTTTAAATTAAATCTTTGATGGGATTTACAGTTTTACTTTAATTATAGTTAAAGAAAAAATATTGAAATAAACGAAAAAAATACATTTCGGAGCAGATGAATGTTTTATCCGCAGTTTTGTAATTATTGAAGTTAAAAAACTGTCCAAATTTAAAAATCAAATAAATAAATAAAGTGAAATTCAATTTACAAATAATACTTTAAGTGTTACTAGAAAAAATTTATCTTTTTTGCTAATCAATTTGGAGAAACTCCAGTTTAACTAATTTTAGTTTAGTATTTTCAATAAATGCTTATCAAGTCTGGGATAAAAGTCAATAACTTTTGTTAGTATTGACATGAATTGTGTTTGACTTTCGTTATGACATACTTGAACGATTGGAATTAAATCATTGCTAAGGTTTCAAGAATAAAAAATCGTGTCAACGCATACTGCATTGTCAGAGGAATGTAAGTGTAAAGAAGAAAATATGATTAAGAAATTTCTTACTGTTGCTCTTTAAAATAAAAATTAATATTACTTAATACCCACACTCGTCAAACTCAATTTATTTTAGTTAATAAAATTCATAAAATTGACTGTCTATTTCTCTTTAAGCCATATATAAATTTTAATAAAATTAAAAGTGGAACTACTTTATAAAAATTAATTACTATTACATATAAAACAATAAGTGCATCTTTTATCAGCTATTTTAAAAAACAAAATACAGAACTCACACACAAAAAAAAGAATGTAGATTTGTCACGCAAACGGTGTTTTTGTGGCATAGATTACTTGAAACGCTTCTTGATCATGGAATAAAATGTGAGAAGTTAACGGTTTATGGTTATAGTAAGAAGACGTTTATAATTTTATAGGTTTTAAGATTTAATTTCTAAAATTGGTTTATTTTAGATACTTAATGCAGTTTCTGATGTTTTAAACCTTCAAAATATAGAAAACATTTTCATATAAATCTTGTTAAAATTTTGATCTTAAAAAAGATTTCTACATCGAACTACTTATATTACTTTATATAATAAAATCAAACTTTTGTATTGTATATAGAATTAAATCATTTCTTTTTTATTTAATCATAAATTAATTTTTATATCAACAAATTAGAGTCTAAACTTGTTTATAACTTCTTTAATCATTCTGAAAATTGTAACTAAATTTTTAATTTTACTGTTTTTTAAAGGTGTAGAATTTTTAGATAAATTAATAAATTAAAAAAGATTAAATGTCAGGTTTAGAGGTTAGAATTTATAATGTTTCTTTTTAAAAAGAATTTATACCATAAAGCCAATACAAAGTAAGTTTAATGTTCTTTTCAGTAAGAAAATAGATGAGATAATCATGACGATTTCTTCTAACATTGTAATGTTACTTCTAACATTGTATGTTTCTTCTAACATTTCTAACCTTACGAAATCCAAAGAGATCCTTTTGCAGCTTCTGACGTTCTGCTGTGGGTTGCTGACCCTTCCCTCTGATAAATTTAAGCATCCTGCCTGCAGTTTATTGCTGTCAAACCAAAATAACTTTACGTTTCCTCGTAAATAATATTTTTGACGATGTCTTCTTTCTTCACACTTTTAATGAATTATGATACGCGTTTAGAAGAAATAAAAAATTTAATTAAAACATTTTCAAAGTGAACAGAAAACCACATGAAGCCAATTTTTTTTTGTAGTCGGTGTTTGCCTGAAACACGTTTGACACGCCTGCCTCTATTGCACAGACAACACGTCGTTCACCTCTTTCTTTTTTCCAATGTGTTAATTTTTTTCGTCTCGTGATTATTGATAAAAAAGGATGGAAAACAGTCACTGTAACTTTTAAAACTTTTTTCTATAAAATAAACAGACGTCCCGCGAAATTCGCAAGTAGCGAAATTCTGTAAAACCATGGAAGAACTTAGCGTAAACTAAAATTCATTCCAGACACACATATGACCTGATGGCTGGTTGACAATAGGCGTAGCGTAGGTATGTAAGAATGTTTCAGAAAACTGCCACTAGATAGTATTACTATTAAAGGCCTAAGCAAGGCGACAGCAAGAACACAGTAGCGACAATCGCAAACGGAAACTAAGTTGAGTCCACAATATACAACAAACGCATCAGTAAGAATGTGTTAGAGAAGGATGAATAGTATGCCTATCCTTCTCTAACACACTCTTAAATGAAAGTGGAATATTCGTCGCAGCCAATCAAATTTAGTGGTATGTAAGCACCTTAAATACGTTGCGTTGATTTTGGCGATTTTAGCATTGGTTACCATAGTAACCGGCGCAACGCATGCTTTAGGATCCTATTGGAGATAGGCCATAAGACCAATTGAAATCGTAAACTTTTAAATGAAAAAACTACAATTTTTATGCAAATTTAACTAACAATAGCTCATTTTACTCGTTCAAACATTATTTATAATCGTATAATCTTTTTAATATTATATTTTTATTTGTTGTGCAAACAATTTCGAGAATATTATAGTTTTGAGGTCAAAGTCGATGCATTTTTTGCATGTTTGAAGCTCTAAAAATCGCATTGACTTTGGCATACTCTTAAGAAACAAATTTTTTAAAAATAATTGATGTATTTCGTAAAGTTTTTATTTACAAGTAAAATATTACAATAGAAATTGTATACAATTTGCATGAATTCACTTATTTACAAATAATAACTTGTGTATTCACATGATTGTGCATAACTAAAAAATTAAGTCTATTGTTTTTTAAAAATTATTTACAAATAGATATTAGAAACTATATGTTCAAAAAGAAAAAGTAGTATACTCTTTGACACAAAGCAATTTAATTTATGAAATAAAAACACACATCCAATAATTAGCTTTAATTTTCGAGAAATTTTTAAATTTCAATAATATTGATTGATTTAAATAATGATTTCTAGATAAAATTTGTCGTTTTAAAAAATTTTATGCAAATTCTGGGCATAACACATACTTCTACACTTACCCTTTCCAGTGTATTACTTTTAAATAATTTCAATTATCTATATAACTGTTTTTAAAATTCTCTGGGCAAGTAAATCTCTTCACGTTCAACATGAAATAAACAAATATAAGTACAAAAATGTTAAAACATATTTAAACATTAATATGTAAATATGATGCTATAAATAGACGAAGAATTTTGTTGATATTTTCAGTTGCTTGCAAATCAATATTTTCTCTTTTGTCGTCCTCAGTATGCCAGATTTCTGGGAAGGTGTAGGGTATGATGTGAAGAACTGGTACATCTAAAGAAAAGAAAAAATTAATAACGTAAATAATAAAAATAAATACTAATAATAATAATAAAACAAATACATGCATAGAAATGTTTTAAAAATTAATATACTTCGCTTTAGGAATGGAATATGATCATCCTCGATATAAGATGGTGTAGAGTACTCCTCAAAATACTTTTGGTATCCATAAGAATAGTTTTCAAATAATTCCAAACTAGCTAGATAAGCTTCAGCCGATAATAATAGCTCATACCATCGCTTTTTATTCGTAGAATAGTTGCGAAATTTAGATTTTGAATCTCCTATTAAATCCAGTAAAACTAGTAGATCCTAAAAACGTGTTGAGATAAAGCAACTTTTTTTTGTTAAAAAAATGGTTAAATATCTTAAATTATTTCAAATATATACTATTTTGTCAAGCTCCGAAATATTATTGCCCAAATGTTGTAAAGAAGGCGTTTTACTCCATTTTTTAGCTAAATGTCTTGCTCCATAAATTGAATCTGTTGGTCCCCAAGTTTCAAATGCTTCTTCTCCATCAAAGAAAATGAACATTAGACTCACGTCTTGCTGATTTAAAAAAAATTTGGTTAATGTTTCAATTATTTCATCGTTAAAGTCCAAACGAATAAGTATTATTGTTACTTACATTCTTGACAGAATTTAACTGCTTATTCATGACTTTGGCTGTATTAATTAATTGAGCACAAGGTACAGCACTGTCTATGGCTCCAACAAATTTCATTCCAAACATATATTTCGAATCATAGTGACAAGCTAACGTCAAATACCTTGTGGCATGAGGATTAAGTTTTGCAATCACATTGCTAAATTTTAAATTGCCGAATATTGGTGTATCAGCATAAAATTCATCAATTTCCACAGACCATCCTAGATCTGCCATCGAATTATGTATGTACTATAAAAAATATAGAAAATTAAAAACATTTTATTTTATTAATAAATTTTCCTGTAGTGGTTGTCGAATAAATTAAATATCTTACTTCTTTTACTTCTTCATGTTTTTCTGTCCCTACAACTCTTTCGACACAAATATTATCTAAAATTTCATCCATATGAGTCAAATTCGACAGCTGAGCAAGAGTATTTATTTGATTTTCATTCAATCCACCAGGTTGATGCAAATTCTGAAAATGTACGTGTTGCAAATGTAAATAAAAACCAGATAAAGCATAAGGATAATCAATAAGAAATTAAAATGATTCATCGCAAATAATACGTCACTTTTTCTTGTTTATACTTTAACAGCTATTGCAAAACGGTGAAAAAAATCAACTATGTTTATAAAAAAATAAGGAATATATTGCCTTTTTACACATAATTTATATGCAATACAAATTTATGTCAGGATAAAATGGATAAAATTATAAACTTAAAATATTGAAGTCTTACTTTTTGATTCTTGAACACTTTTCCTTCTCCAGTTTTCCATATTGTTGAAATTAAAAGGAATGTAATTATCACAAACATTTTCGCTAATCTGTTATATTAAAATAAAAAGAGAATAAAATTGTAAAATATATACCGTTAAGAAACTATTCAAATAAAATTAGTAATAAAATTTATATTACACTTATTTTATATGATAAACAGTTTCATAAAATATTACATTTGTTATTAAAAAATAATATTCATAAACTCTCTAACTGTTAATTGAATATATTTAACTATCTAAATATTCATGTGTAAATATTGTTTAAAAATAGTATAAAATTCACAAAATTTAAACAATAATAGTTTTAGATTGGAAGAACTAAAAACACCTGTTAACGTATTACACGGTTTTATAAGCAGGTTTGACGATAAGTGAGTTTACTTTCCTGGATCCTGGTGGCACATAAAGACCAACGCACAATTGTTCGGGAACGAAATGCATGAGATGGAAAACGATAGGGATATAATTGTGACCTTTTCTATTTTATGCAAGTCGTTCACGAAGTTATTGTGTTTAGGGCTTAATTTGCAAGACTTTTGAAACAATTCTCGTCTTTCTCTTTACTGTGACAGTGGCATAAGTTTGTCACACTCTACAGAGTTGTGAACATACCTTTATCCTTAATCATTTTTACATAAGAGAGAAAAGGACAGAATTGTCATTCTGACAAATAGAAAAAGACAAACAATATTTCTATTCTTCTTCATCTCGTGTAAAAATAAAAATTTCGAGGTTTATTTAGACGGAACTTTAATTTTCTTTTTATTTATAATAATAATTTAAATAAAAAAATTAAATTACAAATGTAAGTAAAATTTAAATAATAAAGTAGTAAAGTAGTTGGTTGTTTTCAGTGTTCAGTAAAAAGTTTATTTTTATTATAATTTACACTATTAAGTAATATTATTATATATACTTCAATTCACACTTTTTCTTAACATAATAAAAACTAAATTATTACATTAGAGTATTTCACAATTTAAATTTTTATTTTATTCGTTTTAGGAGTTTTTTGTAAAAACGAAAATATGAGTATTTAATAATAGTAAAACTTTGAACTAAAAGGTAATATTATTAATAACGTTCGGCTCAACAGTGTGTATTTCGATCGGTAAGTGAAGTTTTAGTATAACCGACGATGAAATACTTTTTTATACGTTAACGATGTTTTTCTCTTGAATTTCGATCTGATTTGATTTTGCATCAAAATTTATTAAAATGTATTTATATATGTTTCTTCCCATTTGGTAGAATATTAATTGCAATTTATACATAAGATCAAAATTAATATAGTCAGAAAGTAACTATACTTTAAATGAACTTCTTTTGTATAATTGACGTATTATTCTAAAGCAACTTTTACTTTTATTCATTTGAGTTTATACCGATTTTAAATACGTTTACAAAACAGGCAAATAATGTAAGTATACATTACTCTCAATTTTGGATGGATTCAGTTTTAAACGAATTGTACGCAATATATTTCTTTCTTTCTTCATTGCACTTGAAACACTTGAAAATTTTTGTTTTCAATAATTATAAGGCCCATATTGCGAACCATGATAATAAGGTCCTGGGTATGCTGCTGGAGCTGGATATCCAGCATAGGCATACTGTTGCTTTTGAGGGTAAACTGAAAAAAGAAAAAAGTAATTACTTTCTAATGCTACAAAAGTTCACTCGGAATCCATAGTCGGCCAAACATGCATTTTAGAATTAGAAATAAAGTGTTAAAATATTATTTTAAATTGGGAAAAAGCGTCTTAACTTTATGACGAAATGTTTAAAATTAACCAACTGAATATAATTTAAAAGTTATAACGTTTGAAGAGTTGTGACCGACTACTACTTTTACCCTATATATACATAAAGAATTTTTAACCGTTAGCGTACACACATCAATATTCCGTAACGCAGCGGCCATATCAGATAATTAAGAAGCACGAGAATAAAACACGATACCGAAAAAAACTTTGTACATATATATATTTTGAGGTGATGCTACAATTTATTATAATCTCAAAAAGTAAGACGCTTTTTACTGATTTATATCTTTTCTTACTGATTATCTGAAAGAATATAGGCATTACAATTAATTTTTTTGAAATTAAAAATCTTTCAATGCGCGTTTTGTATTTGAAATTAAAGGCAGAAAGAATGACTTTTTGCAGAAAGCTAGTAAGTAAAATGTTATTGACTGATAATACTCTTATAAAAAGTTAAGAGTTTGACTACCTTATTGAGCAAGAAGAAAAATCTTAGCCATACGCACATTACTCAAAGTCTCTAGAGAACCCCGGATAATGAATTTCTAATAAAATAATTGAAAATTTTCTAAAATATTGTTTAGTACCATGTATAAACTTAAATTTGAATTATTAGTAATATTAATTCTCTATTATTTTTAAACTAGTTTTTAGAATGTTTATCAGGTGTAAAAGTTTTAGTTGCCACGTTATACCTGTTATTAAATAGATATGTATAGCTTATCTTATATTACATGATGAAAAATATAAAAATATAATACTAAATATATAGGTACTACTTTACCTCCGAGAGAAAATTGAGTGCTCCAATGCAACAACTCGTTCAAAGCTCGAAAATTTTTCGAGTTGTTGCATTGGAGCGGTCAATTATTGCAAGCATCTGGAAAGGTTTTGAATTGAAGAGTTAGTAAAAGCAATAAGATGTTACGAATATTATGTACCAGGCATGAGGTACTGCATGTTCATCGCTTCTTCACGCATTCTCTCGCCCCGCAAGCAAATCGCCGCTGCGCTAAACAAGATAGCGCTGACCAAAGACCAACCGACGCCGACCCAAGCAACCACGTATGACCAGTCATACGAGATTAGTGAATTGTCCTTCAGGACCTGGAATCGGGTTAACGAAAAAAGCAGGGATTAGTTTTATTAGGTTCTCATTTTGGTTCACCTGGCATTATGTATTGGATATTCTGAGTTTGCTCCCGGATACGCTCCTTGCGTAAACAAGATGCTGCTATCAGAAATAGGGTCATTGCTGCTAAACATGTTGCTACTCCTAACCAGGCTAGGTAAAAAGACCAATCATACCATTGAGCTGCATTATCCTTTAGAACCTACGATTTTCAAATTAATCAATTCGTATCAAAACCTTTAGTTTTATTCCTGTTTGTTTGAAATCATATAATGGAAAAAAACCTTGGTCGCAATTTTTGATTCCATTTTCTTATTTCCGCAGCACAGAAAGTTACCTTAAACTTAACTGTTCAACTTTTCCAACCTTACAATGTTGGAAAAGTTGAACAGCAATGTTCAGATAATGTTGACATTTAATTTTCAATCAATATTCAGGCAATATTGCACCCAATACAAATTTACACAATGTTGCTTGAATAATTTTTTGTATCCATTTTGCCATTCAATATTTCTAATATGCTGTCGAGTCATGGTCGCAATAAGTTTAAGAATACTATAGGTTTTATTTGGAAAATAATAACCATAGAAATGGTTAAGGTGATGGGACTGTTCGTCTTCTTCCTATAATAACTTTGCATATTTTATTTCTTTAAAAAATGCCTTAAACATTCCTTATAAAAGAGCTTGATATATACTTCTTGTTATCATCAAATACTTACATTGCTCCACTGTTGGAAATATTCTTCTCCAATCATTTTTTCTTTTTCGTAGTATTCAACTCCATGCCAAAGACCCATTCCTGCAGCACTCAGCAAACCTAACAAAAAAGTTTTTACTATAATGTTTAAGATAAACAAAACGCATTTAAGATTTTATATAAACAAGATCTCACAAAATGATATTCTGATTTTATAAAAAATATGATAAACAACTAACAGGCACACAACATTAGTATGGCAGTTGCAGTAATGTTCCCTGGTGACCTTCGCCAACAGCCCACTATTCCTGTCCAGAAAGCTGAGAATATAGCCAGAAAAGCCACAATAAAGACAGCTATTACCGAACGTCCCATATCTGCAAAAAAAATGTCTTATTTTAAGAAAGTAATTTGCCTTAAGAACGAAAGTGCGGATTCGTTTTCAAATAAGGATTTTTGTATTATTTTTTTTAGTAAAACATTTGATAATTGAAATAGTATAAACAAAGAGATTTATAGAGAATTAACTTCAATGTAGAGCAGAGGATTCTTTATTAGTTAGAATTATAAATAAATGTCTTACGAAGTCTGGTCATGGCATCTTCTGTAAAGCTTCTTGTTTCGTTTTCTTCATCAGGAATAAAGTAGTTGACATTCGTGCAATGAGTCTCTACTGGACTTAAATACGTTTCCACTGGAACAAACAATTAAAAAGTTTTTTGATAACTGACATAATAATTCTATTGTATATGAACTATTTTTACACTATTGTACTATCAATTTTCAAAAACAAATTTTCATAAAGTTTAAAGCTGAGAGCGTTTTGTGATAATCAGTCTTTTATATCTTCATATAAGAACTCGCTATATATTATATTCTAGATCTTTGTTTACCTTTGTTACTTTATTGTCAATTACCTTACTTTAAGTACATCCTATTTTTACTTAAAGACTTTTCTTCATTTATTTTCTAATTCCGTTTATTAACATATATATAAATATATGTTCGTGCAAAGAATACAAATTTTTTCTTTAATATTTACACAATACAAATTCAATCATATATAGTTAATTTTTAAGAAAACTCAATTATGTATTTTATTTATTCGAGAATTTGACCTTCTTTGAAATCCAGTTTTAATTTAAACTATCTACCACTAAAGATCGTTGACTCGGGAATAACTGTACTCATAATGCTCTTTCTTAAGCTGGTAACTGTGTTCTTTTATTGACTTAAAGTTTTTCATAAAATTTTCTACGCAGCATAACACAATCTACAAATTATTTACAAAAATACAAAAAATAGTTTAGTTTATTTGTTATACATACGTACACATATGTAGATCGATAAGAAAAAGTAAATAATTTTTTAAACATTTGTATTTTTTTAACAACTGAATTTTTCACGTAAGAATTTCTAATTTTATTTCTTGATTATAAATTATTCGACGTCCATATAGATGTCTCACCGGAAACGCAATAATGAATGTCGAAACCGATTAGGAACTCTTGGTCAGAGAACGGTAAATAATTTATATTACATGTCATTGCATTTTATATGTAATCTTATTATTGTTTTCAAGTTATTGAAACGTTATACATAGTAAAGAAAATATGCTACTAAATTCATAAAATTTGTACTGATACAAAGATAAATGCTTCATACTTTTATAGCAGAAATTCCATATTTCTGTCAATCTAAAAAAACTTATGATATACTTGGTAGGAAAATATCAACTCTTTTCATCACCTTTTCATTGAAGAATGAGGAAACAAAAAAATCATTTTTTATTGAGATAGTCGTCTTTAGTCATTTTCTCTTCTCCGATGAAAATTTCTCATATAATATATATATACCTTTCTTTACTTCTGCTTTGCTCATTCAACTTCCCTCTCTTACTATTCAAGTAAAAGTACATTTTCTCATAAGAAACTTTGTACTTTATTTCTACATAAAATTTCACTCATTTTATTTTAATTTTATATTCACTTGACGCACCATAATAATAATAATAATAATAAATATTTATATATTTCAAGATTTCCCGAAATTATTCACAAACAAATTTTGTCAATCACCGCAATAAGTTATTTCATATACAGCACTCAAAAAAGTCTAGTTAAAATTAACTAAAGTTCTGGTAAATCTTGTCAGAATTAAACTGTCCAGCAAGGGTTGAGAAAAAAATTCCCTGACTTTTCCTTAACATTTTACAAAACTTATTTCTGCTTTCTTGGGACAAAAATATGATACTTATATATTTAACAATAAATTAATGTCAAATAATAGAGTAACAAATTGTAATAATAACCATTTAAGTCTTGTTAGATTACAGAATTTTTTAATTCACAAAAATTAAAATTTTTTCTATAAATTTATAGATATAATTTACTGACATTCCCTGACTGCTGGACACCATTACTACTTTTTCTGGTTAAAAGATATTAGAATTATGGTTAATTTTTTTTTATAAATTTAACTAGAATTTCTTGTTATTGAGCTTACCAGAAATTCTGGTTCAAAAAGACCACAGAATAAACGCTTCTGTGTTAACCAGAATTGTCTTATTATACCATAAATTTATATTTAGTTTAACTAGAAACTTTTTAACCACATGCATTTAGTAACTTTAACTAGAACTTTTTCCGAGTGAATGATTCCTGAAACCTACTATATAGACTTTTAGTTTGAAATTTAAGAAATTTGAAATATTAAAACTGCGCTCTCTAAATCTGAATCTGTTTTTGAAAACTCTTCCACGTAAGAAATAAGTGCATATACACTTAAGAGTTTTGACTTATTTAGATTTAGAGAGTGAAAAAGTGAGGATCATAATAACCCAGGAACCATCAATCACCCGTCAATTGATAGGTCCTGGTTTTCTGTAGATCCCTACAGATTTTCTTATTATTTTATTTGTAAAAATAAATATGTATATAATGTTTTTTATTTTAACTTACCCGTGGGTGGCCGATCTTTGGGAAAGCATATCCTGAAGAGACCCTGCGTTCTCGTATAGTAGTAATACTTATTCATAGGTCCAATTACATTGCTCTGCTCTGGATGTTTATGAACATATTGCTGCAACAAAAGATAATAATGAAGAAGAAAGGTCAAGCTATATCATAAAAAAGCATACTGAAGAAAATTATAATTATTGCTAATTCTGACATATACGAGTGTGGTTAGGACTTTGGTTTGGACTAAACATACAATGTATGCGTTTATACCACATATCCACCAATACAATATATGTTCGTATTATAATTAAAGCAGTGAACATTTTTCACCATTGGTAAAAGCTGCTTGTATACTATTTAGGATTATTCCATTTTGTATAGTTTATTGCCGCAAAACTTTGTATAGCTGTTTCTCACATCATCATCAACATCGTCATCATTATACCTAGTTAATATATGTATGCGTACAACTATAAGTATTGTTTTTAAAAAGAGAGTTTCGGAAACATGCATGAGAGTCATTTGGCACTGCTTTCACATTGTCGTTTCGCCACATGATTGTAATCACATAGTATTATCACTCAACAGAAGGAAATTTCTTTGACATAGAAACAAACAAACAAACCCTTTCTCATATTTATTCTTGATAGATTCCTATATGAGAAGGACACCTTCTAAGGTGAGGATTTGCTTTCATCGTTTACTACAGTCATTGTTGACAGTAACGACAACAACTTACTGTTGCAATTTTCTCACTCTATGATACCATGTCACATAACTGCTCTCATAGAAATTGAAAAAACAATATGTGAAAGAGACATTTTTTTAATATATTGATTGACGTTAAATCATATTATTATATTTAAAAATTGTTAAAGCTTTGTGACAAAAATCTAAAACAGTCTTCACAATTTTACACTCGAATGACATTAAACATTTCTCTGGAATAATTTGATGGAATTTCAATATGAATTCAGTTTAGCATTTTTTTAGACATTGTATAAAGAAACTTTGGTAAACTATAAGGAAATAATACGACATGAGGAAGGAAAGACACATTTAAACTTAAACTAACATATACTTCTATTAATATATGACATTACAGTAATGTCATACAAATAAAGATCGCAAAATTCCGTATAAAAAGAATTTTATAAACTTTCTTTGCAACACTACCGTAATCATACTGTGGCATTGTACACAGTAAAAAGAAAGTCGTATTTTAAGGCATCAATTGCAACATTTTAATTTGGGTTCATCATTTTTAAGACATATTAATGCTGAATTTAAGACTGATTTTAAATCAAGATTTATACTTTTTACTGGGTAACACTACTGCAAGTTCATAATAATATTTAATTTAGTAGTGTCACTGTAACATTACTTGTAATACTTGTAATGTAACATTGCATTATGGAATAATGTTACGTGCTACTTTGGTTATATTTTGCAAATTGTAGCATACAGCTATATTTTTTATCACCATTTAAAGTTTTTTTTTATTTTTACAATATTTGACATAAAATGTAAAAACTTTCATATTTTAATGCATCGTATGAAAGATACGAGAAAAATAATGCTTTACTTCAATAGTGAATTTTGGGGTTCAAAATGTATATGTTCATTTGTTGTTATAAATACTTTGTAATATTCAATAATTCGAATATATAATTTTTTACATATACAGAGGTATTTATTTTGAATCCTTCGAGTGTTATTGAATTTAAGTCAACGTATAGACTAACAGTCAACGTGCTAGAAAATGGGTGCGGCGCAGTTTGGTATGTCAAGAAACGATGGAATGCCGTTCTTATAATTTTATACCTAAAAAAGATTTAATGAAAATTTCATTATATTCCTACTTTTGTCAATTAGTATTTTGTTAAATAATTTTGACATTGAACATAATTTTTTTCATAGTGAAAAAATTAAGTCTCTTATAAGTAGAGGAATCAGTGAAATTTTCACAGATTTAGAATGAGACTCACTCACAATGCGATCTTACAGGGTTGCCACTAACCGACAAGAAAGCATCGGTAGATTTTTAAAAAATCGGCAGAGTTGCATGAAAATTTAGAAAATCAATAGATTTTTAAAGTGAAATGTCACTTATAAATCGATAATTGTGGCAGATCCATACTAATATTAAAAATATAAAAGTTGGGTAGAAAAGGGTAGATCTATTTGAATATTTATTTTCTATTAAATATTTTAATGTTTAAAGTGTTTTACTTTATTTATTATTTTCATAACAATTTAACGTGTTAAGAATTGTAATGAAAATTCTAGTGAGGAAACTCCACACGCAGTAGAGCGTCATTTTATATCAAGTTATAGAGATTTTAATTTTCCATAATTATCTTACTTGAAAAACGCTTTATTACTTTTCAAACAAGTTGTTCGTTTTATAAAATTGATGTAGATAACATATAACAATGTCAATTAATATTAATTTTAAGTAAACTTGCAACATTCTTGTTCAGTAGCTTTTACTGTTAAAGATAAACTCTTAGATTGAGAACCAGAATGTATATAAAGGACTCGACCATTCACAATGAAAGAGAAAGATAAATAGCTGATCCATTAAAGAATTTATGAAAACCGAATGTAATGAAACTATATCTGTATGTATGTGTACATATTCAAAGAGATTGTTGATTAATTAAAGATATTATATTCTATAAATAATAATACTAGCAACCTGAATTTGGGCCCGTTTGACCTCCGTATATAGCCAGTTGTCCGTAGAGAAGGCAATTGCCAGAAGAGCTGTAGCAATAATACCAGTTATGGTAGCCAAAGAGAGCGTTACAGCAGAGCAAGGCATTTTCGATTATTAAAGCTAACGATATTTTCACTTGGCACAAAATCAAGAACAACAATTGACTATTAACAATTTAGCACTAAGATGTTATTCGTCTAAAGTCGACACACACACAAAAACATACACTCACATTCACCTTAAAACAATACGCCTTTCACCACTTTTGATTTCATTTGTAATAAATTATTAAAATTCAATAATAATTAGTTTTTTCTTTATCACTAGAAGCTGAAAAACTGTTTAAATGTAACAATCTACGAAGACACAGGTTGCAAAACACGGAGCACATTACACCAATATTCCTTCAGTAACACCACTAACGGCTCAACTTATGCTTTGGAGAAAAGCAGAACCTGACCAAGTCGAAAGAACCGGTGAAGTTAGATCAGGTGGGGATGAGGTAGAAAGACAGCCTCAGACATGTATATTACCTGTGTTTCACCTGAAAAGGTGCTCAACTTGAACACAAACGCTCAAGTTGAAGCTCGAGTTTTCTAAAGTATTATACATTCAAGCCTAAGATGCTGGATGTACAACAGATGTTTATTCCATATTTACGAATGTAATAACTTTTTCTCGAGTACAAAATACAATTTTTCCAACATTTTATTTATATAAAATTAAGTGTATTTATCATTCAAAAAATAATAAACTAGTTCTATATTCTAAACATTTTTTCACCAAAAAAATAAATATTAAGTTAACTTTTTTTCATGAAAATAACGGGGAAATGGAAAGTTAAACAAGAGAAATTATTGACAACAGTAATTTCATTTTGTCGTTAAATGCGGGTTATATATATATATATATATATTTAGTATAATACATATAATGCAATGAAAACATTTTCTGAAAAAATAAGCACATAATATTTTATTTTTTAAATAACTTAAAATATACATAGACAAGTACACTTTTTTCAAAGGTTTCAGTACTATAATATAAAACAATTAAATATTAATAAATATTTTAATATAGCGATAAAAAATAATTTGTAACTTAATTCATTTAAATAATATGCACTTAACAAAAAGATGAATAATTATGAAAATTAAAAAAAGAAAATCACATGTTTTAGGTTCCTCTGAATGAGAACTATTGTACCTGTTGCTTCTTTTGACATACCATCTTAAATATTATGCCATTCAGTCAATTTGAAAAACTTATTATTTTAGTTATTTATTTTTAAATAATTTCATACTTTACAAAAAAGTAATGTTTCCTATCTTTAGTTTAATTTAAAAAAAAATAATTGATCTTCTTAATCCCAAGTCTTCTTGAAAATATTTTCTTTTTTCTTTAATCAAAAAGTATATTATTTATTATCAATGTTAGAGATTTATTGCCATTAAATAAATAAATCTAAAACATAAAAAACATACTATTTCTTCTGCGGTTGGTTTTTTGATCAATTTTCGTTGATGATTCCATATCAGTTCCTCTAATTTCATTTGTTCAGCGTCTCCCAATTCATCTAAATTTCGTGAACAATCAATTTTCGCCAAGTCAATTTTTGGTTCTCCTACGAGTAAAGCTTCCCACCAACGTTCCACAGTTTTTTCTAGATGAATCTATAATGCAATTTATATAAAAAGTCATGTAATAAACATTCTATAATCTTCACAGTTCGCAAGAAATCTCCAAGATATTTCATATTTTCAACCATATGAGAGGAATGAGACGAAAATTTGGTTTAACCGCACACGGAAAAAATAAGTCGCGGAAATTTTCCTCGACTTTGTTGAAGACTCTCGGATTTAGTGGAAAGTGTTTTAAAAATCATATTCACAGTTTTTGAAGAAATAGCAGACTACATTTGAAGAAACTTTCCGCGACTGTCGAAGAAAATGAAGACTCCACGCGCATGTAACCGATTCCGCCACAGTCGCGGAAAATTACAAACCTGAATTTACTCTACAGCGTTCTAATTTTTAATTGACAGTCGCGGAAATTATTTAGAATTTTTTAATGTATATATTAATATCGACAAATTGAATAATAAAAATAATAATAATCTTGACAATCAATTGTCATAAATTGTTAAAAAAAAATGTTAAAAAAACAGTGTTTATTGGTTTTAACGCGCGCAACTTTTGTGCGCACCATTTTCCGCGACTCGTCGACGAAACCTTCTATGAAGTGTTAGAATAATTCCGAGACTGTTTTCCGCTACTAGGTTTCTAGAAAGTCCTCGACTTTTTTTGGAGAATTTCTGCTAAAATCGTAGAACATTTCTAAAAGTCTATAAAAGATTCGTTCATATCCGAGAGTCTTCGATTAGTCGCTGAAAATTTCTGCGACTATTTTTTTCCGTGCAGAGTCATCTCTGGTATAACTTAGAGATTATCAGAAATTCTATTTTGCTCCTTTTCAACTCATTAATTTTATTCTGTACATTTACTCACTATTACGTGTTTTCCAGGAACAAAGCTCCAATATGATTCATCTTTACGAATTTTAAAGTAGAATTGTCCACGTATAAGAGTGTTCCATGTTTTAAATTCACCATTCTTAATGTCAATTGTAATAATTTGAGGTGATAGACTAATTCTGAGTTGGTCGATTAATTTCACGTTTACTGGAATTTTTACAATAACACTTAAATCACAAATGGTTTGAGACCAAGTATAATGTTCGCGAACAGCCCCATTGTAACTATCTGATGATTGTTCTGCAAATACCGAAATTTTATTAAGTTTATTGTTTTGTACTTGTTGCGAATTAGGCTTTTTATCATCGATTTTTGAAGGGATCACAATTTGCTCAAAGTTTGAACAAATTTCTCCTGATAGTACTTCATAAGACTTGTTTCTCCATTTTTTAAAATATTCATCTACTAAATTTTCAACCATTCCGGGTAGGAAACCAATTTGATTTTCTACATTGGATTCGACGTAAAAATCAGTACTGAAAATAGAAATTTTTAGTATTACAATTACAACAAAAGAAATGTTTTCAAACAAAAAAGTTGAGAAAATGTCATTTTCCACAATTTTTTAATCTATTTTTGAACCTAATTCGATCATAAATAGGTCATAATCCAAGGGTTTTTTTTTTAAAATACCGACTCTACAAGTCGGTAACGATATTTTTAAAGTTACTTCTATATTTCTCAACAAAATTTTCAAAAAAGTCCTTTTTCCAAAATTTTAGATTTTTAAATGTTTACATATCTCCGGTTAATATGGACAAAAAATGTTCAATAAGGGCTCAAAAGGTGCGTCTAAAAAACTCTACATAATTATGAAAAAACATTTATAGGTGTCCTAACATTTTTTTAAAGTTATGGGCAAAAAATTCATCCCTAAAGCTCTTCATAATCTTGAGATATTTATAAAAATGTAATGTTCACAACACATATACGAAATGACATTTTTTAAAAATCTGATGATTTTTGAACTCTTGAGGTCAAATAACAATAAAGATATGTCAAAAAATCAAACTTGAAAAATTTTGGTATTACAATACAAGCAAAATATATAAAAATCAATACATACCATCTGAATAAAAAACCAAAAAATGCATCTAAAAAATTAGCAATGTTCTTCTCCCCACTTAAAATTTGTAGGAAAGCCGGATCGTGTTGTCCATCCATCAAACTAGTATCAAAACTACTATAAAAAAATTGCCGCCATCTTTCGGAATCGTTTGGAACAGTTGAGTGAAATACTTGGTATGTGCTTAATGCTTATCAGTGCCACAGTTGTCTGTCTGCTCTGCTCTGCTCTGCAATTGACGCTAATTTATAAACGGTTATGTTTTTTATTTTGTTTAAGTAACTTCGGTAACTTCGACTAAGCACTATTAAATGCTATTCTAATTTTTATTCACCTTTTCTAGAGACTAGATTTTTATTAATATTGTGACTTAATAATTTTCGATAATTAATCAAGGAATAAATAAGAGAATTAATTTAAAAGGTAAATGCTTCATTCATACAGGCATAATTATTTTTAAATATCTACATAATAATAACAACAACTTTTATTAGAGTTAATAAGTAATGTAATTGTTTTATAAAGCTCCAAAAACAACAAGGCAGTCTAATGGAAAATAAAGAACGCGAAGTGGATTTATATCGCGAAACACCCTTACGGTACCTGGGTAATGATTAATTAGTAATTTTTAGTTGAAACTATATTTTAATCTCTAAGCAAGTTTTTAGGTTAAAGAAGGGGGAAGTATTTTTCTTGATATGAAAATAAGATTTATTTTGCCAATATTTTGTATTGTTTTTAATTACAATGATAATGTACCATTGTCACAAAAAATATTTTTCAATTTGCAACACAATTATACAATTTAGAAAATATTAATTATTTTGTACTGCCAGCTTTTACTTTCACTTGATCTGAGAAATTAAATTAAATATATAATCTAAGAAGTAAGTATTCTTTCTGTTTTAGGTTACACGAATGAAGTCGGAGAAGCATTTAGAAGTGTGGTGCGAAAACATGTTGTATGGTCCTCTTACATACTAGCTTCTGGATATGTTATTGCCGACACATTTCATAAAGCGTCCAAAGTTTACAAGGTGTTCATTCTTTTTTTCAAACTAAATTATATTATTGACCCAATGAGAACGCGTGAGTTGTTTTTTAAACACGTCTCACGAAAGCTGTATTTCTCTCATGACATATGAGACGTACAAATTTAGACGTTGAAAGGAAACATGGTTCCTGAAAAAGTTTCAAAAACAATGGAGTGTTGAAAACCAATATTTTATTTCATGCAAAAAATAACTTACTCCCATTAGTTATAATATTATTTTGCAATCGTTTTATTTGTTCTGTTTCTAGGTGGACACATCATTAGATAAGGGGAAAAAGATACTTCTATCTGCAACGGATACTTTATTGTGGCAGGGATTGGCATCAATCGTTATTCCCGGATTCACAATAAATAGGATATGCGCAGGAGTTGGATTTCTTCAAAGGAGAAATATGATTTTTAATTTAAAGAGTCCTTGGATTTCAACTGCAGTTGGTCTTGCCTCAATCCCATTAATAATTCGACCAATAGATATGTCAGTCGAAAGTATGATGGACTCTACTTATCGCAAGTGGACGGGTTACCATCCTTCTAGTAAATCAATGGAAAATAAAAAGAACTAAATTCCCATTATAATAATAAATAGTACAAATTAGAATTTAATTATAAATTTATAAACAAATACAGCACGATCAAAATTAAAAGATCTCTTTTCTAGTTATTATTAATAAATGTCACCTGTGTGTATAGGTATGTCATATGCTCTAAGAATTCTATTTCATTCTTATTCTAATGCCTCACAATTTTCTGTGGCATCTTTTTTCTAAAAGTTAATAAAAAATATCGACTATTAATTTTTGAAATGCGCCTTTAGTGTAACAACCTTCTATCCAGTGACCAGTAAAAGAAACGAGGTAAGTCATTTCCTAACTTTACTATCTCCAATCTTGTTACTTGTTGTAGGTAAGGCAGATTTTTCCAACTGTTTCCGATATAGTAGAACCAAAACATTACCTTACCATAGAGCCAAGTAGAAGTTAAAGTTAATTCAAGTTTCATTAGAAGAAAATATCTACCACCGTAATTTAAAAAATTGCTATCTTTACATTTTATTTTCAATATACGAATATTCATCTACAAAAAGAGAAATTTTTGTTTATATTTGAAAGCTTTTTAACTAAAGGATGAATTTTAATCTTTCTTCTTTAGATTGAAGTTATTCCTCTCAAATTAAAACAAATTTATACTAGAAAGAAGATTTTTAAGTTGTTTTTTGTTTTTCTGAACACAGCTTCAAACTGTTTAAAAAGTGACATTTAATATAAAATATAAAAGAGGAAAATCCTCTCAATTTGAAAGGAAAACTTTTAGTGCCCAAGAGGAAAAAATGCTGCAAAAGAAGAGGAATCGTCTAAAATTGAAAACATTTTTTTTCTGGGTTGTTTAAACAATTGAGAAATCGTGATTGAGTTGCAGTAAATAAGTCTAGGTCGACTTTTCGTCTCTTGATGTTTGATGACAATCGAGGTACTTTAAAAACTATTTTTTTGAATAGGAAGACTACAACATTAATAATTCTTCTTTCCTTAACGTGATAAATCCAAAACGTTGACATAGTTTTGAATAATATTGGTAAAGTAATATTAATTTATTTCAGTTAAACAGGCATTTATAATTATGGTCATGTGTTCCATTTATATATACTTTACTTTGGGAATATGTCACTGAATAACAAACTGTATACGTGATTTTTTACAGATTTTTCTTACAGGTGTGTCAAATTTATAACAAATTGAAGTATCTAATTAGCGTTTATACGAAGAGCCTGAGTGAAAAACCTTATAGAAAAACTGTCAGTTGAGAGGAATAAGTTTATCGGTTTTTGTCTTTATTTTATATCCTTAGAAAATAAACTGTGGTTTTTTATTATAATATATACCCACACAGCACCGAAACTTTCCTAAAAATTTAATAAAGATTTACGTGCAAACTTCAAAGTATTTACTTGCAATGTTTAGTGGAAATTTTGTAAAGATTTAAATGTTCCAATTCAATAAATGTTTAACGTGAAATTTTCCATGAAAATTTAAAAAAAAATTTCGCTGTGCTGTGTGGATTAGTAATCATTTCACACTAAAAAAAAGTCTTACTTTCAGCCTAATTTTGAGGCTGAATTTAAGGTGTAAACAGAGTCAGCCCCGTTAAAAGGACAGACTTATGTGAAATACATATGGGCTAAATTTAACGTGTAAACGGAGTCAGACTTTTTTTCTGTGTTTTAGTAAAGTTATGGATTATATGAAAAATTACTATAAAAATTGGAAGAAATTTCTATATAAATTATATGATTATAGTGCAAGACGATCACGGTAAATCGTTACGTATTAAAATAACACCAAAAAGGATTAAAATAATCCAATTTAGCGTTATTTTAATTCATTTTGGTGTTATTTTAACACCTAACGATTTACCGTGATTGTTTTCATTAATGTTTAACACATTAAATAGAAAGTCTTATTTTAAGGCTGCGCAAGGCCTTAAAATCAGGATGCAACATTCTTAAGACAGTCAATGCTGATACTGAAGCAGTCAGTGTTGAATTTAAGACTGATCTTAAATTAAGATTTACTTTTTATTATGAAAAAATGATGCTATCTTTTCTATACATACAGAGAAAAAAGATTTTAGAACTTAATTGACTACGCAATTATATAAGGATAGCAATTATTGTCATCTAATATACATAGTTAATAATTATACATTTGACAGTTAATTTTTTTGCTGCGAAAGCTAATTATATTATGCATATGGCTAAAAATTATAGCTATATCCATAAATTATAACAAACAAGCAAAAACATTTTTAGAAAAAATATCTATATAGGTGCCATATTTAAGATTTCGGAACATTCTCATTTATACTTTGAAAGTTGCGGTATAATACTATATAATTAATATAATATTATACAAAAAATCAACTTTTTGAGCCGGAACGTAATACTGTTTATTTGTAACATACAAAATTGGTCAAAATTGTTTATATCTTTTAAACGATTATAAAGATAAATGAGTTTTGTTTTTTTACATTCAACTCAGGAAAAAGAGATACTTATATATTAAAATGAGTAATAAATAATATGCTTACAATATTTGGCTAATTAATAAAGATATTTAAATAAAATAAGATTATTTCCAGCCTCTGGGTGAATTTAATTAAATGCGACTTAAAGTTCAAAATATTCCTAAGTTTGATCTCTTTGATCTCCATCAATATATTTAATGAATTGTTAATGATTTCACTGCTATTTTTCAGTTAATAAGCTGTTCTATCTGCATTCATATACGGTCACTATAAATTTGAAATATGACACCAGAAAGTCAAAGTCATATTCTCACATGAAAAATTTTTGGGGCAGTATCTATTCAATTCATCACTTATCACACTTATTATTTTCTATTGTTTTTATACGAAGTGAAGTTAATTATTGCACAAATTTTTCGAAAGGTATACCATATTTATATTCTTCCGTGCACTCTCAAACAAAAATTTGTTTTTGGTCGAATAAACCAATATATAAATTTCTTCTTAATATAAATACAGATTCACTAATATAAAAAATTTATTTAATTCAAGTAACAGATTACTTGTATATTATCAAATAAATATTTACTTCAATTAAATCAATTAAATGGTATTTGTTTCAAATACTTATTATTTCAGTGGGCAAAAAACCATGTTCGTTCCAGAAACGTTCTGAAAACCACTTTTGGAACGAACATGCGCTTTTTACTGCACTTGAAAATTATTGGTTCAAGTATATGCGGCTAAAGTTTGGAACTCTTTTAATATTTCTTAAAATCTGTATTTTTGAGGCAAAATGTTTGAAACAAAAGTTGTCAGGCTTAAAAAGTGAATTAAAATTAATACATTTTTTAAGCCTAACAACTTTTTAAAAAATTTATTAATTTTAATACACTTCTTAGGCTCAACAATTTTTGTTTCAAAACATTTTGCTCCAAAATACATATTTTAAGAAATATTAAAGGAGTTCCATATACTTTAGCCACACCCCGTGTATACGCTGTAAATTAGTTAATTTTCACTGAATCATCAGTGAAATTTTACTGATTAATTAGCGTATGTACGCTTTTTGAAATTAGTGATATACTTACTGCTGGGAATCAATAAAATTTCGTTATATTTTAGATTTAGAGTTAGTGATTGAGTACGGATAAGTCACATTAATATATTCTACATCAATTATAGTATTTACTCTCGTTTTGAGTATCAAATTATTATATATAGATTTTAGAAGACAAAAGTTTTACAGCAAAAAGTAAGTATTAAACAATTTAGGCCTTAGCTCATTAGCGTCTAAGCCGAGGTCGTTTAGAATAATACATTAGTTCAATGGTAGTTTACCCTTATTGTCCATATTGTCGACAATTATCAGAAAAATCTGGACGACTAAAGCTGCACACATTTGTGCACTTCGTGTGACGTGCCCCTGGTTGAGGTTCAGAATAAAAATATAAACAAAGGAGTAAAGTTTGACGAAAAGAGAGATGAAGGTATATTGGCACTCAGATTAAACTCGCAACGATCCCTTGAAACCTGTGGCATTTCAAGAGGGAAGTGAGGATCGATAGGTAGTCGGCCGAGTCGCGAGAAAACCATTTCAGCATCGGCAGCCGCAACAACAGCAGCAGCAGCGGCAGCAGCAGTAACAACGACAACAGAAACAAGCAACAGAAGCGCCTGAGCAACTTTCGCAGCCATTCTGCGGCCATGTCTGCTTTCGAAAGGGGGTTGGAAACGCCCCTTCTTGGAGATTTTGTCCAATAAGAATTCAGAGTGCGGGGGTGCTGAGCAGTGGGAGTGACAGTCTCCTCTATCAGTGGACGTGGCCTTATGATATTGAAACGCTGGTGGGGTCTGGTATCCTTCCGCAGGTGCAGCCAGTTTACTGACAGACTTGTAGCGAGTATGCTCGTATTCCTGTCAGACTTTATTTTTTTAAATTTCGCGATATATTCGGCAGTTGAATGTCACACGACTAGATATCCTATGTATAAAGGAAGGATTTTTTAAAATGAAAGTGTATTTTTTTGTTAAATTAAATTAAATGATGAGCATGAGACATAGAAGTCAGTTTCCAACTAAAAGACGTATTAGAAAAATTATTATTAATAATGTTGAACACTATTTTTGTAACAGGACATTTTGTTGATTGTTGGATTGGTCATTATTTAAAAATCTAATATTGACAAGAATGGTCGAAAATGATGTTTAGTCCAATATTCTGTAAATATCTGTCAAAAAACAATCTACTCACAATTCTTTTATATTTATCAAATTATGATTGAATTGAATCCTGATGATTCCGTCCTTTAAAGCAGTTAAAAATATTTAATTTGTGTCTTAATCAGACCATAATCTTGAAAAGAGGAGAACAATTACAATGTGGATAAGTGATTGGAAATGCTGTGAAGTGCTTTTTTCGTAGAAAATATTATCTTTTGTATAAGTTGAAAAAAGACTTATTCATTTGTGGGAGAATTATTTAAAGGAATTGGATGCAAGAAACATTTAGTGGAAAGAGAGAATCTTTTGAAAGTGTTTATATTGATTAAGTGCGACGGTTAGTGCAATAGCCGGCTTCTGGGATTAAAACGGCAGTAAAAGTGGGTGCACTGGGGCCCTCGGGACCTTTCGGCCGATACGGGCCTGTGGAGGGTGGGCCTGGTTGTGCTTCTGGGCCCGTCGACGCAGTAGTAGGGATAGGGGTGGCCGCAGCAGCGGCAGGGGAGGTGGAGGGCTACGGTGGCGCCGTTGGAGCGGGTGGGGGTGGTGGGACCCCTGGAGGGGTAGTGGCCGGCACCCCCCGAATAAGGGTTGCGACCCTCGGGGGGTCTTGTTGCGCACCCCTGCCCGTCACCCAATCCCACAACATAGGTGAGCAAATTCGTTATCTGTCAACAATAATCTTATCGCATCAATTGCATATATATGTATATATGTTCAGTCCAGTCGGGATATTCAAAACATCTAAATCTGGGGAAGCTGGGGAATTTTCACGAAATCACGTGAGAATACAGTAGAACGAAATTTTACTGTATTTATTCATAAGGAAATGAACAAATATACAAAAGTGCTGGTTCGAACTCTTGCAGGATCTTGATCCCCTTAATCCCATAATATTCTGCGGTGATTTTAATGCCCACTCTATGTCCTGGGGTGCAACATATGACTCTGCAAGGGGCATCGATCTTGATGATGCGATAGAATCTTTCGGGTTGGTTACTCTGAATGATTCGGTTCCTACCTTTATTAGTGCTCCGGGGAGAGCTTGTAACAATCTTGATTTGATTTTTGTTTCCGCACATCTTGCTTGTCTCTCCACATGTGAAGTTGTTGATGACACATATGGATCCGATCATCTTCTAATTAAAGGAGATCTAGATGTCACCCCTAGGTATATCAAGTCATTAACTAAACGATTAAAAACAACAAAAGTATCGTGGGTAGATTTCTCCGAACAAATGACTATTGTTGCTCATGAATTGGAAAGTGAATTAGAAAACGGTGCCGATCCGATTTGCATATATGATGAGTTTACTGACAGGATTAGGTCTGGCTTGAAGGACAACGGCGCGTATTATCCTTCTGAGAATGCTGGTAAACGCAAGTCTCAACCACTTTGGTGGGACAATGAATGTGATTCTCTTATAGATAGACGTAGACATGCGAGGAGAGATTTTCTAATTAATCAAAATCAGGAAACAAGGGAGAATTATCGTGTCATTGATAACAAAGTTAAAAAGTTACTGCGGAAAAAGAAATCCAATTCTTTTAGAACTTTCTGCAATAACATCAGTCCTTCAGATGAACCCAAAAAGATTTGGAATACCGTTAGATCATTTTCGAATAGGAATCTGCCTTTGACTACTAATGTATGCAATGACCCCAATTCTGAGATTTTTGTCGCGTTGCAGGACGATTTGGTTAAACCAGATATTGTCCCTACAGAGCTTCCCATCAGACCTGTTCCTAACAACGATCCTGATCCTATGAACCAATTTTTCACTGAGATGGAATACTCGGCCTCTTTGTCTGTATGCAAGAAGGATACTGCTCCTGGTTTGGACGACATTTCATATACAACAATAAAAAAATTGCCTCCAACCGCACACAAATTAATCCTTAAATTGTTCAATAGTTTTTTTCATAAATCACAGTTTCCAACTCAGTGGAGAAACACAAAGGTTGTTTTTATACCCAAACCGGCAGGAAAAGGCTATAGGCCGATCTCCCTTACTTCCAATCTATGTAAGCTTTTTGAACGTCTTGTTCACAGACGTCTGGAACACCTCACGGAGAATGGCGACTGGCTGCCAATTAACCAATTTGGGTTTAGACGAGGAAGATCTTGTATCGACTGCGTTGCAAATGTTGTAACCGATATTTCGCATGGATTTTTGAACGGACAGGGTACTCTTGCTATGGCTCTGGATATAAAGGGCGCTTTTAGCAACCTACTTCCTGAATCCCTATATCAAAAACTTACTGAGCTTGGGGTACCGGATAGAATCCTAAATTTTATCTCCTTTTTAACATCCAAAAAACACCTTTACTTTGGAGCTCTGGAGGACGGATATAGAATATCGGGTGTTGGTGTGCCTCAAGGAGGTGTTCTATCCCCCCTCTTATTTAACCTTGCGTTATCTGGTATAGGTTCCATACTTCCAAGGGGAGTCAAATTCTCTATGTATGCGGATGACATTTTAATTTATGTCAGGTTTAAAAACATTCAGGATGCACTCGCTCTCCTCTTAGAATCAATCCATTCACTAACACCCTGGCTAAAGGACCTTGGTATGTCGTTCTCTTTGCCCAAGACTCAGATTTGTGTTTTCTCTCGCTCCAAGGATAGATATGATGGGATTAATCTGACTGATGATGATTTCTCTGTTCCTGTTCAGTATGACTTGATGTATTTGGGAATCTTACTTGACCGTAAGCTTTCCTGGCAGAAGCATATTAGGCTTATTGCACAGAGAGCACAGAAATCTATCAATATACTCAAAGTTATAGCAAAAATCACATGGGGGGCTAATCCGGTCTCTATGATTATGGTGTATAAAGGTCTAATCAGGGCACACCTCGAATGGGGCAGCCCTCTGTTTATGTCTACATCCGCTTCACATCTAAAGATCCTAGATAGGATACAAAATTCTGCACTTCGAGTCATACTCGGATGCATGAGCACCACGCCTCGGAATTTTCTACTGGCTGAAATCAATGAACCCCCCCTTTCTCTTAGGCGTGCAATGCTCGCAGAAAGATTTGTCTTAAGAAACTATTCCTGGAAACAAAATCCTTTAATACCAAAATTGCAGTCGTTGCATCAAAGTACCTTAAGCACTAAAAAGACACGTGCATACTTCGGTAGATTCCCGCTTATCTGTACTTATTCTAGATTATCTAATATGACAAAGAACCCAGTACGATCGCGCAAACCCCTTCTACTCGATTATTCTTGGAAGGAACTTACCTTCCATATACGGGTTGACCTTGAGACCGGTTACGTAATAAAGCAAAGTAATTCTCCAAACACTTGCTTTCAATCTATTGTTGATCAAACTTATTCGAATTATTATGTTTTTTATACAGACGGTGCTAAGTCAAAGAATAATGGAAGAGCCAGCTCAAGTTATGTCTGTCCGGGGGTGGTTGAATTTGGTGTTAGATTGAACGACTTCTCGACGTCGGTAACTTGCGAAGCATATGCGATTTTATCTGCTTTGAAATATATATACAAAAATAAGATTGCTAATTCACTAGTCGTCTCGGACGCGAAAGGAGTTTTGTCGGCGGTGAACAACAGATTTAACCATACGGATCTGCATCAGCTTGTGCATGAGATTGTACAACTTTCAATTAAAATTATGGACGGTGGCTCGGTGCTTCGCTTTTTATGGATTCCTGGACACTCTGGTATTGCTGGCAATGAATCTGCAGACGGAATTGCTAAGAACGCTTTGGGTTTTGAGTTTGGTAGATTTCAGGGTCTTCCAAGTAAGGATCTCCTCGACACCATAAGAGAGGACTTTAGATCATGGCAGTATAATGTCTGGCCTCCATGTCCTGAACTCGCCTCAGGCAACGCGTATTTTAGACTGATAGGAAAAAAAACCCCACGTCCTTGGTTTAAAAATATACATGCTCCTCGTAAACATCTCAATTTAATTACACGTCTTAGATGTGGACATATTTGTACAAGCGAACATTTTACAAGAATGGGTTGGAGAATTGATACAGCATGTGTTTGTGGGACTGGTCAAAGTAGTCTAACACATTATTTGAGGGACTGTCCTGTTCTTTCTGCTTCCAGAACATCTCTTTTTTCGTATTTGAGAACTAAACTTACTGATTTCGATCCCGTAATACCAGATCTCACACCTTTGGTTTTTGATCCAGACCCTAGATCAGTTCGACATATCGGAAGATTTTTTATCGATAATGGAATTATTCTTTAAGAAATTTGGGAAGCAACAATATGTTACGAGATATTATTGAGAAGGGCGGAGGCTTTTCCAAGGAACCTTTTTAGTTTTCTTATTTTTTCTTTTATTTACTTATTTGTTTTTTTTTTTTTTTTTTTTACAATTTAATTAAAACATTAAATTAATATTTCACTCTACGTTCAAATGGAACACTCTCGTTTGAGATATGTTTTAAGCTAATCATAAGTAGGAATGGAAATTATACCCTTCCTAGTTTTCTTTTTCTAGTTTTATAATTTTAGATTTAGTTAAATATTAAGCAATAGGATAAGTATGTATATAATAGAGAGAGAGGAGGAAAATGTTAGTAAGTTTAATTTACGGAAGTAGTAAACGATTATAAGCTTAACTATAAATGAGAAATATTAATTTAATCTTTTATAAGATGTTCCCACACTGGTTACTGGTACATCATAGCTTGACATAAGCATATATCAACATTTAAAATTCCCGCTCAATTTTTACCCTTCCTTGCCGCAACATACATGTGTAATGCGCTTTAACGTGTGGATCACCAATCTGGACCATGGATGTGAACTGCATATAAGGACTATGGATAAAAACTGCATTCTTACATAAATATACCTGCACATACCGTACTCTACCAAGTTACGAACATTATAAGTGATTTTTTTATTGGCTAGTTGTTCCATATCTATGGGACCAGAGGCCATTTAACCAAAAGAAGAAGAAGACCTGAAGAGGACAATATATTCTGTCGAAACATGTTGTCCTTATAAAATAAAGTTTTTTAAAATAACATCTGTTTAAATCCGTTCAAAGGCCTCTGACACAATAGTTATTAATGTTTTTTAAATCTTGAGAATAATTATTGTCAAAGAGCAATATTTTTCACAGAAGTATAAATTCAAATTTTGTATCCGTTATTCAAAAATAAGAAATCATCGAGTTTTTTTTTATTTAACTTATTCCTTAGTATCATAAAATTACTGATCCGAAACATTTTTGAAGAAATATGCAAAAGAAAAAATGTTATAGCAATTTTTATGACCGTGTCTTGTGATACGTTACGAAAACTTTAAACACGTTTTTTTCGAGAAAACATTTTTAAAAAGGGGAAGACACTTTTCTCAAAATGTACTGAACCGATTTTAAAAATCAACAATAATTCAATTTTTTATCTATAAATATGAAAAAATATAAAATATTAGAGGTTTGTTGTCTATAGACAATATATATATAAATATAATATTTCATATTTTTACCCTCTCTGTTATTTTGTACGGGGTAATTTATGTAAAATAGGTATTTTGCCCGGAAAATGCCTCCCCGAATAAATGGTACCTTTTGGAAGACGCCACCTACAGGTGGCAAAATGGACTAAAATACTCCAAAGAAATTTTTTAATTCTCTTTTTGTAATGTGTAATAATCAAAAGGGAATTTTGCAAGAACTATAATAGATTTTTTACAGTAAAAGTATTAAAAAGTGTGTTTTTTTTACCAATTTTGCACCAGAAAGTCCCCTTAGAAAACAAAATTTAATTTGTAATATAAATTAAATTTGTTTGGTCAGAACAAACATTTTTTAATTTTTTTTACTAAAGTTCTAGTGGAATGTTATTAAGAATTAAGACTTAAATTTCCTATAAATTAATTTACAGCTGTAGGAAATAAAAACTTTGCTAACTATGTCGCTAGGGACAACATTCACATAACTTGATTGGCGAAATTCTACCTTAGCGACAAAGTGACTTATATAGTTTTTGTTTTGTATAATTTAAAGGAAAATCTTTAAATCTGAATATTATTAAAAGTTACTAATGAGATTATTTACAGATGACTAACAATTAGTGTAATTATATTAAAAAAATTAGTCATAAAAAAAGCTTATCAAAATTGGGAAAAGTTGTCCATGAGAATGAATAACAATTTTATTGATAAAACTTTACTATTTGTTAGTAGTATTTACTAATTCAGATTAAGAAGAAAAACTTGCATTCATATTAGTTAAAATGAAATGTTGGCAAAAACAAATTGTTTTAAAAAATTATTTGTACCTATCTTTAAGTTGACTTGACAAAATACTTTTTTGATTAAATACATTGTCAAGGAAAAGTTCGTGAATTTCAAGGAATTCCCATATGCCTATGAATTTTATTCATATAGGCAGGAAGAATAGAAAAATCAAATTTTTGTAAATTAAAAATATTTTTAATTTAATAAAACTTAAATTTACTTTTATTACCATCTGTCACTATGATTTAATATTAATTAATTGTTAAATATGGCAGCAACATACACCTTCGTCTTAATAAGGATTTTCGTACCCTGAAAAAACTATATTTTTGAATCAAACATCTTTGTTATACAGTCAACCAAAAATGATCTTCGAATTAAACATAATAATTTTGATTCAATACAATAATGCGTTTGATTAAAAAAAATTACGTTTAATTCAATTAATAAAATATATTTAATCCAAACAAATTTTTTTGGTTGGCTACTTATTTTTGAATTAAAAAAAATTTTTTCTCAGCGTGGGGATCCTGGGTTAGCAAAAAGTCAGAAAATTTTTTTATCAATTCTTACTCAAAGTAAAAAGAAAAGCTTACAATTTTTCTAAGAATATCAAATTGAGTCAAAAAATGTAGCAAAATTATTGTTGCGATGCAATGTTTTGATACATTATATAGTTGTCTCAATTTGAGACTCTTATAGAAAAACTGTGATACTCTCAATCAAATATTCATGTAAATAGTATTCAAATTTAAAATGTACGGATATAATATATTAATGATTAATGATGATGAAGGGGGGGGGGAAGTTTAAAATTTCAAAAAAGGGGCATGTAGTTTACGACCCCTTACCATGACTGATATAAACAAATGTTGGTTCGATTCAATCAAAAATTTTGTTCAATTGATGAAATTCTTTCTTGAAAATCGATTTTCTAATACACAACTTAATATACAATTTTATATATTTCTTTTATATTAGAATAATATAATCCATTGAAGAATACCTAAGACGAAATTTAAAGTTTAAAAACAATCAAATTATATTAGACATTTTAGTTCTGTTTTGGATCTGAAAAAAAACCCGACTCAAAATTCATATTATTTTATTGCATTCCGTGAATTCAAAACTGGTTTGTGCTTATGATAATTAGTGTGACAAGTTATATTATAGTAGATAATTACTCTCGTTTAAACATATGTAAAATGATGGTCGGATCGCAATTATTATAGTTACAATGTAAATAATTAGTGACGTTATAATTAAATTCAATAATCAATCAACTCTCATATTAATATCGTAAGCGCTAATAGCAATGAACTGATGTAATAAACTCAACATAAGTTTAATATTATAGAAGAATATTTTGATTTATAAACTGTGGGAATACATATTTTATAAATCAAAATCAAATATTTTATGTAAAAACGCATGTATGAATATACAATATATGTATGAGACATCTATATTAACATCACTAATTATTACCCTTCATCGCCTGGTTTTTATTTCCTGTATAGATAAATTAAAAATTTCGTCTAATATATTAACCAAAACATCTTGAAACGGTTTGCCCAACATCCTGAAACCCAATGTTTTAAATCTGAATCAGTGAAAATTTGACTGATTTCAATTCAGCTGAATTGAAAGTGGACGACTTTTCTTTGATAAAACAGTGGAATTAAAAACTTAAGTCCAAAATGCAAAGACTGAAAAACGGCACATCACAGTTTTAATGAAATTCTTTTTAACAATTCAATTTTTTAAAATAATTTTAATAAAATTTTACGTAGAAATTAAATTAATTTCAAAAATAATTTATCAAAATTCAATTATTTTCAATATCTACTACATATATTTCAATAAAATTTCACAAAAGAATTCAATTATTTAAAAACAAATTTTAATAAAATTCGTCTCAAGAATTCAATTATTTGCAAAAAATATAACATTCTTCGCAGAAATTCAATTATGGTCTAAAGTTTAAAAAAAATTATCGTCAAAATTTCAATTATCTTTATAAATAATAAAATTTTTCTCTAAAATTCAATTATTTACAAAAATTTTAATAAAATTGTTGGCAAAATTTCAATTATTTTCAAAAAATTTGTTCAATTCAATCAAAATTTTTTTTTCAGAGATTCAATTATTTTTAATACAATTTTTAATTTAATTTCTAAGAAAGAAATTATTCTTAAAAATATTTCATTTCCTTTAATTATTCTTAAAAATGTTATTAAAATTCGTCAAAAAAATTTTAATTACCTATTTAAAAATTTTTTGATAGAATTCTTCAAATGAGAGTTCAATTTTAAAAAACATTTAATTCTTCAATAAATTATATTTATTTTTGTATTTAAATAATATTGAATTCTCGTAGAATTTTCTGATAAAAATTGATTTAAATATGAATTTCAGTTAAAATTTTAGATAATAATTGAATATTTTAATATTCATTTTAATATTTTAATATTCAATTACTATTATCTAAAATTTTAATTTTTGAATCAGTAAAAATGGTTTCGAATTTAAATTAGTGATTGACTTTTTGCTTTAGAATTAGCAGATTTTACTAATAAATAGTCGTTTCTACTAATTTAATAGTAAAATTTACTGATTCAAAAGCAAAAAGTCAGTCACTAATCCCAATTAGTAAACATCTTTACTAATTCAAAATTAAAAAAAAAATTATTATAGAATATTTTTATAAATAATTGAATTTCGAAAAGGTTTTAAATTACAATCTTTGAATGTTTCAAATTTTTATACTTTTAACTAAAAATTGTGTAGATTTAATGTTTTTAAAAAGTTTAATTATTGAAGTTTTTTTTTTAAGTTATTTGAAGTTTTTATTTTCTAATATATATTTGATTGAAGAATTTCCGAATAATCGATGAAATTTCGTAAAATTGAATCGGAAACAAAAGGATTTGAAAATTTTCAAAGAAATTTTTCAAAAATTATTAAAAATAATTAATTGAAAGAAAAATTTTAGTTAAAAATTCTGAAAAACAATAATTCAATTGAAGTGATGAAAGTAATTTTGAATAAATTACAATAACAATATTATTATATTAAAATAATGATTTTATCAGTCGATCATCATTAATTATTATAAAACATGTAGATATCGATTGCTCCCAGTCGAAGACTCGGAGTGATCGATTTCTTCATGTTTTATAACAATTTTTTATAAGTTGTTAAATTTCAAAAAGGTTTGAATTTGAATCTTTTGAAGAATTTTAATTCCTATGAAAAAATAATAATTAAATATTTATTTAAAAAAGATAAATATAGCAATGCGAAATACAGTATTATATGAAAGTTCCATGCATTTGTTAAAATTTATTGTAATTATTTAATTTGTAGAACATTTAAACTTGACATTATTAAAACAACTCTTCATTTGTCCGAATTTTTATTTTCAAGAATATTGTTATTTGATAAGAAAAAAATAATTGTCAAAAATAAATTCTACGGATATTAAAGATTTCTAGAAATTATGAGATTTTTCTAAAAATAGTCCGTAATGGCTTTATATATAGGTGAAATATAATGGATTGACCCTAATTAAAAAAAAATATTAAATCAGATAAATTCACAAATAAATTAAACTTTTTAGGCAATATTTTTGGTTATTATCATGGTACAGCCTCGGTAATTGGTACACTTACCCTATATTATGAGCGCATACAGAAAAATATACCAATCAATATATTATTGATTTTTTTGAGAGTTTGATGATGAATCTAAGTTCTGAACGTTCCTATGAGAAAAATTTATCTATATTGGTTCCTTAAATTAAAATTTGATTGTAATAATTGAGATTGATTTTATTTGCAGTCATAGTAATTTTTGAAAACATGTATTTTTTAATATATCAACAAAAAATAAATGTTTCTAGGGAGGTGCGGTTTGGCGATGCTCCTATCATGCGCGGGATGCGAGAAACCAATTTTGGATAAATTTTTGCTGAATGTTCTGGATCGAGCTTGGCACGCAGATTGTGTTCGGTGTTGCGTTTGCGGGAGTGCACTTCAAGACAAATGTTTTTCCAGAGAAGGGAAATTATTTTGTAGAAACGACTTTTTCAGGTAATTTTTTCTTCATTATTTATTACATTATTAATACTCTACAATAATTTTTAATATCAACCAAGTGATTTTGAGCTCCGAAATAGATTAGATTCAAACGCTTTATACAATATTTTTCGAAAAGTTGAGGAACTGCTGTAATTTCGAGATGATTTGTCGAAAATGATAAGATATGTGTTTTATTTTAAAAAAAGTAAACAAAACTTGAAACTGAGGTGACTTATAGGTACGAAGAACGTGCTTGAAACAATATACCGTGCAAACCTCATCTATGAATTCAATCTTGCGTTCGAAATGACTATTTAAATATTTTTTTCTAATTAGAATATTGCAAAATCTAAAAAAGGCTAAATTGTCTCAAATCATAAAAAGCTGTTAAACCTTGAAGCGTTTGTAAATCTTTTGGAATGCAATACCTTCTCAATAATGCATATATATTACATATACATCTTATCAACTCTTAATTAAATAAAAATAATGAACATATATGTATTCCTAAAATAATATTAACACTGTAGCAACAATTCGCGAGCTGAAGCGCGCGACTAACTTCTTACATACTTTTATAAAAGTAAAATTAGCAATTTTAGAAATAGAACGTAAAGATTTGCAATTTAAATTTATTTTCATAAAAATAAAATATGAATTTGGAATATAGTTTTAATATTATTATAACTATAATAATCATCTATTCTGACACAGTGAATTCAGGGAAAAGTCAGGGATATTTATTAAAAGTACTGAAAAATGTTAAATTTTTAGAATTCATAAGAAAATTCTGAATTTTTGTGCCTTACAAACTATGAAATTATTATTATTATGTTCAAAATTTGAAAAAAGAATCTCGTCAAAATCCCAATTATATCATTATAGCTAATCAAATTCTTCTTCAAAATTCAATTATTTAAAAATTTTTTTTTAAATTCTTGTTAAAATTTCAATTATTTTCAAAAAATTTCCTCATTTCAATAATTTATTAATTTTTAATATCTCTACTATTTTTAATGCAATTTTAGTGAAATTTCTTGAAAAATGTAACTATTCTTAAAAATATTAAAATTCGCCAAAAATTCAATTTTCAATTTAAATTGTTTAAAAATTTGGTAATATAATTCTTTATAAGAATTAAATTTTAAGAAACATTCAATTATTCAATAAATAATTTATTTTTGTATTTAAATAATTGAATTCTCGTAGAATTTTCTAATAAAAATTGATTTTGAATAAGTTACAGTAACAATATTCTTATAATATAAAATAATTATTTTATCTCTCGAACACCTTTAATTATTATAAAAAATGAAGAAATCGATCACTCCGAGTCTTCCACTACGCTAAATTATTTAAATAGAATAATTTTTGTAAATTCATAAAATAATGTATTTTCAAAAATTATTATTATTATTATTATTTTTTTTGTATTTTTAAAAATTTTTTATTTTTTTATATTTATAGATAATTTTTAAAGATGAAAAAATAGAATTCTTTAAAATATAAAATTTTACACAATTTCCAATTGTTTCAATTTTTTAAAATTATTTTTGTGAATTCAAATATATCTTCAAAAAATTTCAATTACTATTTTTCAAAAACCTATATACTTTTTACAGAATTTCCAAATTATATCTTTCAAATTTCAATCATTTTTGTAAAATAAATATTTAAATACTTATTGTTCTTTATTTGATTAAAATTTCGAAATAATTTCAATGTAAAACCGCACTGGAAAGAATTTTTATGAAAACTTGAACTGCAAGTCTTTCATAATTCAATTATTTTTTTTTTTACAATTTTTGAATATTATTAGGTATTCAAAACTTTTAATTTTTAAGGAAGCTAACAAATTAATAATTTTTTATATATTTAAATATTCTGATACTTTTACAGCAATTAGAATTTCAAAGATTGAAATTTAATTATTTTTATAGAATCTTACTTTAACACTTCTAATTATTTTCTAAACTTTTAACTGAAATTCTTTTTTAAATTAATTCTTATCAGAATTTAATTATTTAAATACAAAAATAAATAATTAATTATTTGTAAAAATTGAAACTGTACCTTTTTATTGAGTTTTTGAAATATGGGGTTAAATTTTCTTACTCGACTAACTGCAAACTTTTAACATAACAATTCCAACAATTCGACAATTCGAATAATAATTTTAACTGATTTTCAGTCAAGTTTCACTGATTCAAATCGTGAGAATAGTCACTGAAAATCAGTCAAATTTCATTGATTCGGATTTAGAGAGTTTATCACGGACTTTTCAGATGAAATCCACTTGCAATCTTTGTAATAACGAATCATAAAAATCCTTGACATTTTGCGAGATCATGCTTCAACCACGAATACCGCAATGAGTAGTGTGGTATAGGTCATATCGTGTCATTCAAGTTTTTCATCTTTTTTTAGAAAAAATATTCTTCAGGAATTAGCAAAATTTTAAAGTGCACAAAACAGATTCTCAAATGTCTTGTCGTCGCTAATTATGTATCAATAAATATTATTATTGTTGATTATTTGTTATAAAACTTTATTATCCCTTCGTGTGACTTCTAAAAATGATCCGATGCATACATATATATGTATATGTATATATAGAAGAAGAAGCTGTAGCGAAGGAATGAGCTCTTTGATACTTATACCAACGAGTGTATAACGAACGTTGTATATACTTTACGAGCCACTTTGCATCTCAATGAAAAATTCATTAGCTTGAACCAAGAGGAAACTTGAAACATTATCGGACGCAGCACCGATTGGTTGTCTAAAGTTTTTAAGGACTGGTTCACCTTTGATCAGTGTGTTCAAACAAAATCAATCATTACAACAACACCAATTGTTCTATTGCATAAGAAATATAAACATTTTAAGTTCAGATTTTCTTCTAGGCGGCCATAATCGACTATATCGAGAAATTATAAAGGAATTCGTAGTCTTTTGGTGAATGGTGATTTAAATGGAATTCCGATAATATCCGCACGTACAAATTTTTCTTCACGTTCTATTTCGGGTTAATACAAACCAAAATTTTATATAAAAATTAAATTAAACACTGTAAAACTTACTTGGTGAAAAGTCGTTTACTACTCTCTAAATCTGAATTAGTAAAAATGTTTACTAATTTCAGGGTGGCCGCAAGTCAGGGAAAAACTGGAAATCAGGGAAAAGTCAGGGAATTTTGATCGAAAGAAACCACAAATTAAAAAACTTTGATACTTAAATGTCAATTCAGTTTTTTATTTAGACGTTTTTGTAATATAACTCATTATAATAGTGCCGTCATATTTTTTATAAATTTGGACCTTCTTACGGACATTTTAATGTAGAATATTAAATAATTCAAAAATTTGTTAGTCAGGGAAAATCAAAAATTAGTCAGGGAAAAGTCAGGGAATTTTGAAAATAAAATTTTGCGCACCCTGAATTTAAATTATTGACTGACTTTTTGCTTTTGAATTAGTAAATTTTACTAATAAATTAGTAGAAATAACTATTTAATAGTAAAATTTACTAATTCAAAAGCAAAAGGTCAGTTACCTATTCGAATTAGTAAACATTTTTACTAATTCAAATTTAGAGAGTACACTGAAAAAAAAATTAATTGATTCAAATAACCGATCAATTGACTATTATAAATTAAAAATTACTTGAATCAAATATAAATATTTGATAATAATATTATATAATAATAATATTTAATTGATAATAGTCAATTAATCGGTTATTTGAATCAATTAAATTTTTTTTTCAGTGTAACTTTTAAGAAAATAATTGAATTGTTTCGAAGATTTTTACAAACATATTTGACAATAATTGTATTCCTATAGCTTAAATATTTTTGGGCTCTTGAAAAATACTTTACTTAATTAATAGTTTCCACTCTTTGGTAAAAAATCTAAAATTGTCAAAAATTCCCAAAAATTCGAAAAACCTAATTTCTTAAAATTCAACATTTTTTCTATTGTTTTATGGCATTTAGCTTAAATATTTTTGTGCTCTTGAAAAATACTTTACTTATTTAAAAGTCTTCCCTTTCGGTAAAAAATCTAAAATTGTCAAAAATTCTCAAAAATTCAAAAATCCGAATTTCTTAAAAATAAACATTTTTTCCTCTCTTTTATGGGATTTAGCTACATTATTTTTGTGCTTTTGGAAAATACTTTACTTATTTAATAGCCTCGACTGTTTGGTAAAAAATCTAAAATTGTCAAAAATTCTCAAAAAATTCAAAAAACCGAATTTCTTAAAATTCAACATTTTTTCCTCTCTTTTATGGAATTTAGCTACATTATTTTTGTGCTTTTGAAAAATACTTTACTTATTAAATAGCCTCGACTCTTTGGTAAAAAATCTAAAATTGTCAAAAATTCTCAAAAATTCAAAAATCCGAATTTCTTAAAAATAAACATTTTTTCCTCTCTTTTATGGGATTTAGCTACATTATTTTTGTGCTTTTGGAAAATACTTTACTTATTTAATAGCCTCGACTGTTTGGTAAAAAATCTAAAATTGTCAAAAATTCTCAAAAATTCAAAAAACCGAATTTCTTAAAATTCAACATTTTTTCTTTTCTTTTATGGCATTTAGCTACATTATTTTTGTGCTTTTGAAAAATACTTTACTTATTTAATTGTCTCCACTTTTTGGTAAAAAATTTAAAATTGTCAAAAATTCGAAAAACCGAATTTCTTAAAATTCAACATTTTTTCCTCTCTTTTATGGGATTTAGCTTCATTATTTTTGTGCTCTTGGAAAATACTTTACTTATTAAATAGCCTCGACTGTTTGGTAAAAAATCTAAAATTGTCAAAAATTCTCAAAAATTCAAAAAACCGAATTTCTTAAAATTCAACATTTTTTCCTCTCTTTTATGGGATTTAGCTACATTATTTTTGTGCTTTTGGAAAATACTTTACTTATTTAATAGCCTCGACTGTTTGGTAAAAAATCTAAAATTGTCAAAAATTCTTAAAAATTCAAAAAACCGAATTTCT